GGCTAATGAAATGAGGTTACACATGCCAGGACAGAGGACAAGTTTGTGGGTGCGTATACAACCTCTACTTAGACTGCGCATGAATAGTAGCGAACGATTCGTATCTCCATTTCTGACTCTAACAGCCTTTTTTCTTCATTTTTGCGCAGCCGGAGCCGAAAAGGGTCCACATGTTCAAGCGTTCCAGAACTAAGGCTTTAAGATTGTGTTGCAATTTCGCGATGAAAAGATCCCTCATTGGAAATTAAGTAGAAATTGTCAGTGATACAAAAAAGGAAACAAAAGAAAAGATGGTTTAGAGTTCTAGAAGGGAGGCCTTTTCTTTGCCCGTTGATTTGCGCACTAATGCGACTTTTATAGGTGCTGTCCTCTTCATCTTTAACGTTCTCTCTGCTAAATGGCTAGAGACTCAGACACGAGAGACTCCGGAGGGAGCGTATCGCGCGCATAGCGCGCCGACTGCGTCACGGAGAAGGCCATGCCAGATCGCCGGGACATATCCTTCTACACAAACTGTCAGTCCGCACACTTACGATGTCCACTTGCTTCTAGGGAGGTTTCCCTCTCTAGGACCTTCGTCCTTAACCCTCGTTTAAGATCAACGGATATGCCGTGAGGTGGCTCAGGATCAAATGAGGTAGACGACAAGGTTCAGGGCTTTACGTCCCCTAATGCGCCCAGCAACGTGGCCATTGCCGCCTATTATACATCTCCTCAGAGAACGTGTCGTGTTGCAGTTGCGCATCGTTCCCTGTCGAAGGGTCGTTATTTGATGGTGAATGCAGGAGGTAGAGTGCTGAATAATCGCCGATGTATGAGTTCATCTCACACATCTGAGATGACAGTATCGTCAAATCCGATGACACATCGTCACTAAAAATTCAAAACTGTACGTGATTGGACCGCAAACGATTTTGCACTTCTCACAGGATTTCATTTGTGACAGCTGGAGGAATGTTCCAATCAGCTACTTGCCTAATCATTGTATTTCTTCCAGAATCGGTTCTTCTACCTGTAACCACGGCCAAGAAGAAGCGAAATCCTGGGATTGGATGTTTTCACCGAAATTCCAGCCTAATTGATGAAGAGTGCCCCCAAAGTAGCTGATGTTTCACTGCGCAATCAATTTATTGTGGTATGGATATACGGTGAGGAAATCACGCGGAGACTAGTGCATGCGCCTAAATAGAGCTAATAATCTTGCATGAGGCGAAATGGCAAAGGATCGCGATTCCAGGAAGGAAAAGTCGGAGAAATTAACTATCGCTTCCTGTGCGAATTTGTGAAAAGGCTCGTTACCGTAGACACGAACACGGTAGGACGAAGTGTGCACCAATGGCGCCAAAAATACCACTCGGATTAAGCTATTATGTTTAGATTTTAAGTTTCTGGCTAAGATAACAAATCAGAAACCGGAGAAAAGCTAACCCATACTGTAGTGTCCTGAACTTCTGAATAAAAAAAAACTACGTTTGAAGCAGTTTTTCAAAACGTGAGAAATTGCAGTTGAAGGCACAACGCAGGCTGAAGTCGTATGAACAACTCTCTCTGGTCTCTAGGGTAGACCCCAGAGAACTTTAACAGACGCAAAGCTCCCATGCATGAAAATCACTCGACAAGGGCGCCAGAGCTTTGCAAAGTTAGATGCAGGAGCTGCGATGTTCCTCGTCCGCAGCAGGCTGTTGTCTGGTGCCCTCACAACTGTAGCGCTCTCTCATCCTACTCTCCTCTCCGCGCTCAGTCTTTCATTGCCTTAGCACAGCCTAATTGCAAAGGTGAGCAAACCTTCAACCTGAGCGTTTTCGTCATTCTTTTCCTTTTTCTTTCTGCCGAACCATTTCGCATCACATTACGTATTAGTGTGCAGGAATCCTACCAGCTTGATCCTGGGGTATGCCTTTACACCACCTTCTTGTTTTACTCATTTAAAATTTTCAGCTAAAGTAATTACTCCCTCTAAATAGGTTGTCAAGACAGGAAATAACGGCTGCCATTTAGAGAAACGGCTAATTTTAGTGGCGGAACTGTGCAAGTGTAAACACTGTAACTGCCTGCACAGTTGTTCAAGGGTGTTCCTAATTACGGTACCAATAACAGGTTGCGACTCGATAATCCACAAGAATATTGTGGTTATCCGTTGGTTCAACTTACGAAAACATATCAAAATATAATAATTTCAATAAACTCGGTGGAAACGAAAGAGATTTACCTTGGAAATTGATTTTTCCGTCTTTGTTCGAATCGACATGCTTGTAAATAGCCTTTATATCCTGATCAGAGAGTGCATGACCCATACGTTGGAATGCCGTCCGTAGTTCGGATCTGAAACGGTGAATATTTTCTCTTCCACGATTCTGTCGGCATTAAATCAAAAAAAAGTCTGTCAGCTTGATGATTTTCATATTTTTTCCGCCGTTTTTTTGTGTAGAGTTTTAGCAGTCAGAGTAGATTCACAATTTCAACTGACCGAGGAGCTGGGAAGGGGGAGGGTCGTATTTTCAAGTTTGGGATAAGGTCGTGATTGGGGAAAGGGTCATGCTATTCATGGAAAACATAGGAACATTGGAGAAGCAAATTCTTAGGGGTGCTGAAATAATATTTCTGTCGCAATTTTGGCTTTTTCGACGGTCATGTAGCCACACACTGTCCGTTACTCCACCCCGTGGATCAGGTTAGGCGAACTTCAATGAAAAAGTCGACAGCCGGGTCGACAGTGCCAGTGAACCTTAAAAAGGTGGAGGTGGTGGTATACCCGAATTTGGTGACACGTCATGATTGATCCTGGGTAGTATTTTCGTCTCCACCCCAATCAAGCTCTTTTTTGTATATCTTTATGTTCCTGCTTGGGATCAAAGGAGCAGGCTTGTAAAATGAGTAACGGTGAAGCTTCATACGATTATAATTTTCCTAAGGAGCACGATAGGGGCAAAATTTAAGCTAGTAAATAAGTGGTTCAAAAAGCTGACCTGGTGATGTATCCGTCGCCATCAACGTCCAGTTCCTCAAAAACGGCTTTCAGTGATAGTGAAAGTGGATTGGCGTGAGCAATTTGGAGGAACTCTGAAATGATACATAATGATGACTAATTTTTTTTCCTGAATCTCGAGGAAACCTTTAACACTTTTAGATTTAGAAAAAAATCTAAAGTAAGATAACTTATGAGTGCAACGTTAAAGAGAACCATTTAGTCTTTTATCTTTTTTTTCTGACTTACTTCATAAGGTGATGTTTTCTTGGCAGATTTGGCGTCAACCAAAAAATGTGCGCTGTGAATTATTTTGATGAATATACAGTATTCTACTTATTCGAATATTATGACTCACTTACCATTTGTGCCACAGAAAAAGTTGGCTGTTTTGTTTTGCTTTGTTTCATGAGGGGCAATAATTAAAACAAACCTTTGAAGTCAATGTTCCCATCATGGTCTTGATCAGCCGCATTGAACATCGCGTCGAGTTCTTCTTCAGTTGGCGACTGGCCCATCTTTTGCATAACGGACCGTAGTTCATCCTTAAAAGGGCACTTACAATAGGTGGCAGGGTTGGACGACATGAAAATCTGGCCAGCGCAATTTCAAGGGATAGTGCGACTTCCTACTGCTAGGCTTTTCCCTTGCCCATCTCATTTTGAGATATACCTGCCTTCCCTTAAAATTTAACAAACAGGAAAGGAAAAACTTCTGAACTTTCGCAAAATCCCCAAAATTTCGCCGTACTTAAAAAATCCTAAATCTTCTTGCAACACTCTATGTGTTAAATCTCTCTTCTAAACTCAGACATGCTATTTCGCCCAACACCCATCCTGACCTAGAGAGCCGACCGCATACCCTCTATCGAGGCTACCTCAACGTTCACTCACCCACCCAGGTACATAGTAAATTGTTGGGTTTTGATCAGGGATCAGTTTCGTCTAGAAATGGAGCAAATATCCTAATTTCCGATGGATATGCTCGGACCGATATCACGTGAAAACCCCTCCGCTCATGCAGTGTAATTGCCTACAAGAAGAGTTTAGCTAACTCTGCCCATAGGGGTGATTCGATGCCCAGACTATCAAAATGACGTTCAGTTTCAGCGGAGGCGTCACCTTTCCACCACCCTTATTTTCATCTAACCCAGTGTAAACTTCGTTATAAAAGCTATTTGTCGCACTTTACGAATATGACATTCGTTTTTGGCATTAGCGTTGTTAAACGCACATCTTCCGATCCGAACAGTCGGGAGGGCGCAGAGTGGAAAGTTACACCAAATTTGGTGCAAGGGTCGTGACAAGGTGACGCCAACGGGCATCAGATGCCCCAAACTATAAGGAGAATGTCTTTTTCGTATTCAGTTCATTGAACCAACCCTATGGGTAAGGTTACGATAGTTTCTGGGTGTACGCAATTACACTGCGCGAGTAGAGCGGTTTTCTTAGTGACATCGACTCGAGCTTATCTTCTGCAAATTGGGGTACTAAAGAGACTCATGCTGAGAGAAATAGATATGGTACAGCTGTAGTAGAGCTAGTAGCGATTTCCATTTGAGCGATGCTATTCTTGCTTTTCTTGCCTGGGCAAATCGGATATTTTGAACTTCATTTCATGAGCTTGAAAACACCTATGTCATTCGAGCATAAAGGAGATAGATACGCATGTGAAAAGGCAAACATACTCTCTGGATGAAGCCATCGCCATTCAGGTCGAACTCACGAAAAATTCCTTTGAGGTCGTCGTCGCGGATTTCACCGACATCTCCCTAAAATAGACGAATCGGATTCTACAATGAAGAAGCTGGCATTGAAGTTTTCGGATTACATCATTATATGTTTAGTTGCAATAATTTGATTTACCCTTACTGAAGTATTAGCGCGGGTTGTGCTTTAACGCGTTGCACCATCGATGAAATCCTTTACCTCTCAAGAAGACGAGAAGGTCGCAACACCAAACAAAGAAGATCTTATTTGACTTGCCTGGCGAACGAACAGGAAGCATCAAATATTGTAGCAGTTTTTTGTGGAGTTAAATACAGAAAATGGCTACCATGACTAACTACACCCTGGCTACCACGACTAACTGGGCCTTCAGATTCAATGAGAACAAGGTCAGCTAGGGATGCGAAAAAATGACTTAGCTGGAAACAGTGGAGTACGAGTGAACTAGAACAGTTTCAATTCAAGAAATCGCGCATACTCTGATGATTGTGCAAAAATGGCTACGACTGAATCAGAGCATTACTGTAGAAGTTCGAAGCAAATTCGGCCATCCTTCCGGTCAGACATCAGACGTTGCCATCTAACTTATTGTATCTTTTGCCTGAGGGTACTGTATAATAGGTTTTTGTAAGCGCTAGAGGTGAAGCGCTAAAGATCAACTGACAATGAGAGGAGTCCCTAGTACATTTCCTATCAAACTGACAGATGACCGCCACCACAGCTCATTGGAGGAATTGGAGCAGCATGAGCATGAGTCGCCACAGAGGAAAGAAGAAGTTCTTACAAAAAGATTTTGAATGATGGCGCTCGGCATTCTTTTCCGTGTCATAATTATTCAATCGCTTCGTAATTTTGTCTTTGTTCAAGGGAGAAGAAAGTGATCAAAAAATACTACAGTAATTATATTCGCATATTCTACTTTCACCCGTCGAAAAGAAGCGGTGTAGAGAAGGGTCGAGGGTCGAAGATTCAATTCAACCAGATAGTCGACTCTGATTCAGTGTTTGATCGGAATGGGAATTCAAGCCAGTAGGTGAGAGGACTGTATTTAATCGCAGACGTTCCGCAAAGTTCCGTCCCGCAAAGAAATCCAATAAGGGACTTCTTTCGTTGCTAGCGCTTGAACTACTCTGCAGGAACACGTTTTCAAATTAGAACAGGCCGCTGAAGAACGCGCCATGCGCATTGCCCCTGATTGCGGTACTGGAGTAGTATTGATTCTGAAGCAATGCGCTGCGTTCTTATAGGATATGATAAGAAGTAAATAGTGTTCGTAACAATGGCGCAAGTTTAATTTATGTGAAATAGGCATCATAAATAGTAATGAGGTATACAGAAAAGTAAATACAAACACATGCTAGAATGTGTGAAACATTCTGTTGTTCTCCAGTTTCCCCCTCCTTGCAAAGGCAGCATGTGTATTTGTAAGTGTTTTGTTTGTTCTGTGCCTTAATGTTGTTACGTGGAACCATTTATTCAATGGTCTAACGTTTCGACTAAATCGTCGTCTTCAGAAGCCAACAGTTCCACCGTTAAGCTGATTAGTTTGCCGCCAGTCAAGAGCGGCAGCAAGCTGTAAGATATTTAGGCCATAAATAAATAGAACGTTTATCGAACTCATAGAGCGCAGCGCAAATAACACACTTATATCTGTTACTCTTGCACATCTATTACAAAATTGTACTTTTTAAAAATGGTTGTCACGTTTTGCCATATCCTCCAGCACGTACGAAAACTGTGGATGCCTTCATCTTTCACGTGCGCCCTTTATGCGGTGTACAAATCGCTTTATTAAGGGATCTAGGCCTAGAAGTCAAAGGTAAATGGTAGGCTGACGAGGCTGCGGTCAGCTATCGGCCTGGCCGAGTCAACCAAGTGAGGACGCATTTCATGACCTTGTAGGGGGAGGCGTCGTGTTTGACTGAACAAAGCTGTATTTGTGAACGATATTTAGAAGATTTTCTTAGAAAGTAGAATGTTCACGAAATTCTGCAAACCGCCTTCCCTTCCAACTTCACGTTCGGCGGACTTTTAGAATTTTTATGTGGTCCGAGCTGGAATATTGTCAAAGCGTTAGACGCTTCAGCAACCCAGCATTAACAGGTTGACAACATGCCCTTGTGCGCGAGCCTACCCACCTTATTTTACAAATTTGCATTAACAGTTACTATTAGGTTGTCGGAAAAGTCTTGGCCCATTTTCATCTTCATGTTGCGAAATCTATGGGGATTGTTTTGGAGGCTTTGTTGTGAAATATAAGTAGGGGCTGTTCAGTGCGCTCCTCATACCATTCTCGCGTATCGTTTCGCAACAGTCATGGCTGAAAAAATCGCTCTCGACTCAAAGCAAGTTCGACTGCTCCTACTTTACGAGTTCAGAAGAAACGCCACTGCACGTCACGCGACAAGGAGCATATTTGATGCGTTGGGTCCTTTGGCTGTTTCTTACAGTACGGCAAAGAGATGGTTCCATAAGTTCGAAAATGGCGACTTCGACTTGAGCGAAAAACCACGATCAGGCAGGCCGGTTAGAGTGGACGATGAGCGTCTCCTGAGACTCATTGAAAAGGTCCCAAGGCGTGGTATCCAGGAACTGGCAGAAGAGCTCCAGAGTCATCATGATACAGTGGCTGCTCATTTGCATCTGCTAGGTAAATAAGTTGGAAATACGGCATGTGTACCTCATGGAGTGGCTACCAACTCCAGATGAGGAGTGATGCATGCCTAAACTATTTGACGTTCCGGAAAACTTTCGCATGGCTCTAAGACCTGATCAACGGCGACGAGAAGTGGGTTCTCTACGTGAACTACACGCGGAAGCGTCAGTGGCTTGGACGCGGTGGTCGTGGGATTCCGACCCCAAGACCAGGATCTCATCCCCAAAAGGCAATGCTCAGTGTATGGTGGAATAGCAAAGGAATTGTTTACTGGGAGTTGCTACCACCGAACACTACTGTCACCGCCGAAGTCTTCTGTGCGCAATTGGATCGTGTCGCTGCAGCCCTACGTGAGAAACAGAGGAAAGTCTACTTTTCGCACGACAACGCTCGCCCACATATTGCAAAGGAGACCCAGAAAAAGCTTCAGACCTTAGGCTGGCACGTTCTGGCCCACCCACCGTACTCACCAGATCTAGCGCCAACAGACTACCACCTATTCCTGTCACTGTCGAATCATCTGAAAGATAGGAAGTTTGACAATCTGGGTCACCTCGAGAAGTGCATTAGAGAGTTCTTCGCCTCAAAACCGCGGGAGTTCTATGCAAGTGGCATCCATAAGTTGCCTGAGAAATGGCAATATGTTGTCGTTTATGATGGTGCATATATTGGTTAATTGTTGGTTGTTGTAAAGAAAATAAATGAATTTGAAAAAAAAATGCAAAGCGGCTCAAGACTTTTCCGACAACCTAATACATTACCAATAATTTCATTAGTGGTAACGAGAGAACTATTTTTCGTATCCAACAGTAGGAAGGGCCAGTATTGGAGCATGAAAATGGAGGCAAAATTCAGGAAAAACAAGTCCTTTCCGTGTGAAAGTGCGGGACGTATGTGTCCCGCGCTGTCGCCAAAGTGTTAAGGAAGTAAGTAACTAGATTATCATATGACACCGTAGACATCACCAGCCAGAGGTATAGGATAGGTCGTACAGCTGAAGTCGGCCACACGACACGGATGATACTGATGGGACCCAAGCACTGCACATGCTGCCTAGCCATACAAAAGTACCCGGATCGTTGAAAAGCCTCAGCGCCAGTACTCATCTGAAACCGCTGTTGGTTCCTATCCCTATTCAACGATTCGTAAATGGCTAGGGAATCTGAACGCCCCTGAATGAGAAATTGGAGTTTAGATGTTGATGGTATATTCACAGTGGTTTTCCACTTGTTGCTATTTTTGTCCCATTTATTTTAACGCCATCGATCAATCCTTTTTACGCTAGCCCAACTCGTTTGAGTTCAACGCGTTTTGACGACGAACAGCGGATGCCGACTGTGATAAGTGTAATAGAAAGTATTTTGAAAAAGGAACGTTCAATCGTGAAGAAACTTTCAAATTTCAAACTACTAAAATGTCGAATATTGCTTGCAAAAGCGGAGGTGGTGTCACCCCAAGCAGGGTCACTTCTCATACATACGCTAACAATAAGAAGGTGGAATTCCGGCTCAAGAAAGCCTTCCGACACGCAAGTTGGTAAGGCTGTCACGGAGTTAGTCGGAAGCCCAAAAGTTCCAACTTGTACATCTGCTGCAGTTCACTGCATAGCTCTTGTAGCCACTGCAGGTCACGTGCCACTACGATGAACGGCCTACTCCAAAAAGGGATTGGACTGTGCCTAATGCTTCGACCCCTCCCCCCCCCCACTGCGAGTTGCTGGAGCTCCATGCACCTGACTAATTTGGTTCTCAAAACAAACCTTCAAAGCTGCAATACCTAGATATTGTGGTAACCACCTCCCCTGATATCGAAGGCACTCATAGAATTCACGGTGCCGATCTAGCCCTCATAAAGTCACCATGCTAGAGTTTTCAAGACAATCGACCGCGCACGGCATCTACACGCCTCGAAATGTTCCGCTGCACTCAGCCCTTGTGTGCACTCGATTTTGCACTTCTGGACATGTCTGGCTGTGAATAGTGAATACACAATTGTGTGGTCCAATAGGGAGCAGGAGCGACACTAAACAAAAAAGCCTGCCAGTTTACCTACAATTATCTGACTCAATACTTCTATACACGCAACATTTTCGGTCGTTGTCCAGTTTTGCACGTGTACTGGGAATTAAGTGAGGATTTTCTGGCTCGAGCGGTGAGCCAGTAAATGGGACAACCCTCATTGCTCTACAATTTCTCTGTCCGCTAGGCTTTGTAAGGCGGACAAAGTATAGGCAGATTACCACACAGTATGAAATTAAAAGTGTTTTCTGTTCTTTAATATGTATGTATGGTGCAGGTGGCTTAATGAAATATGGCGCCACTGCCGCGCACACATTCAGGGATCAAACCCGAAATCAGTCTCGCCCAAGTCAGCCAAACTTTCCTCCCCTCCGCGATCGGCTTCTTATTACTAAACATGCGTGGGAGGATAGAAGACTGCTTATGGAGTGGCAGGCCCAGTTACTGAATAGACCAAATCGCCTTCGACAAAATGGCGCTTCTGAATGGGAAGTAGAATGCATGGCGCATCCCGGAAAGATCTTCCAAGTTCCTGCTCTCTCCTAGGCTCAGTCCTAAGGAATGCCCTCTTATATATCGCCCATATCGCTAATAAGACCGCGACCTTAGCGGGGTTAATACAGCCTCTAAGTAACAGGTCCACGTTCCCACTTCCCTTTCATACAACCTGAGTTGTACTGACTTCACCGAAAAAAACCCCTCAGGCGGAAATCAAGTATGCAAGACAATAAAAATAAAATAGCAGAAAAAAATCATTCTAATTTTTTTTATAAAAATTTGTCAGAAACTCTTATATATCGCCGCACAAAATTCCTGAACCCAAATCGTGTCCTGAGTTTTCCCGACCGTAGACATTGCCAAATCCACCGATTACTATATCTCCAGAGACCCGAATACGATACCCCTCATCGAGGAATTGTCAACGTTGGTATATCCTGGCCCTTAAATGATGAATTGCACGTAACTCCACCTCCGCGCGCGGAAATGTCACACGTTTTTACGAAGGCTGTGTTTCAACAATGTGAAAACTTCTGAGCTTTTTTGGAATCCGCTAGAGTGTCAAGTGATGACGCTAATAACGCCCTCTTGAGTCACTCGACCATGAACGGGACACCGATGATAAATACGATGAGTAGTTCAGCGCATAAAAACTATACGAGCTGGAAGCCGAGGCCATCTCACTGGAGGATCCAGACAAAAAAAACATTCGGCGTTGAGCACCCACTTTTGGGATGAGCCACGCATACACCGTTCACTGCGAATCATAGCGGCATTTGAATGAGAATTGCGAGAGGATAACCGATGTGCAGATGAGATTCGTTCTGCTGGACAAGTTCAAGCCAATTAGACGACCCCAAAGGCAAAAAAGCTCTGTTGGCCTAGATGAGATTCGATCTCCTGTCGTTCAGATCGTGCGCGTATTAGGGTTACCCATAACACAATCGCCTAACAATGTCTCAGTTATCCTTCCTGGAATACTGTCAATAAAACAATCTTCCAATTCAATGGTTATGCGTGAACGGTTTTATTGCCCACATAGCGAAGGAAGATATTAAAGAGCAAATACATTTTGAAAAGACACTTATAGCTAGTGCACTCTCGTATAAATTATACCCATGGCCTTAACGTGGCGTGGAGGTGAAACGGCCCTCGGCTGGCTGACGCTGAAGGTGTCTTCAGGGGATAGAAAACGAAGAACTTAGCTCAGAAGGACACCCATTCCCATATCTTGAGACCGCCTCCCCTTCCCCATTCACGTTCGACTTTTAGAATTTTGGCTGTGCTCCGAGCTGGAGCATTTTCAAAGTACTAGACTTTTGACAAATCTTAGTAAAGGAGTATGTAACTGGGTTATCGAATGATACCTTGACATCACCACCCGGATGTATGGGGATGTGTGGTACAGATGACCGAGCCACATTTTCAATTTCTGCGCAATTATGATCAATGGAATTTTCGACTACCCCGATCAGTGCTAGGTCACCCACCTTAATGGGTCAAGCTAAGGCATTTACCGTAAGGATGGAAAAAGTACCCGAGAAAAGTTGGACAACATCGCTAAGAAGAAGACTTGTAGCTACTGCGCTCGAGTGCCCGACCAGCTCTATTCGGTATTCACAAGAAATATTGTAGAGAAAAAAATGAATATGCAATAGAAAAATAGAATACGAATAAATAGAATGCCGTGGTTATTTTCATCGAAGGCAAACCCGGCGGGCACCTGAAGAATGGCCTTCTCCCTTCACAACATCTGATCTCAAGGAATATTTGGGTAGATAATTTGTGATCCTGCTTGCAACCGTTATACATTATAGGCTTGTATGAAAAAATCGGATGGAAGAGAGTGGATAATCTACCAGTTTGGCCCCCGTCTATGGACACGTGCGACACGGGAGTCGAACAACTTTCTTGTTCTCCCCTCCCCCCCCCCCTCTACCCTCAAGAATTGTAAGTTCAGTATTCTTACATCAATCTAATTATTTTCCGTCCGTTGTCTTTCTTTTTCATCTCTCTCATTTTTTATCATGGACTGTTTAGTTTTACGAATTTCTGTGAACCATTACGTGCCCATCTTTCCGGTGTATTAAATAAATAAGCAAATAAATAAATAAAAACCGATTGTCTTAGCCGATCTATTTTTGCATTGCTATCACTATGGTGGCTTTCTGAATGAATAGCGTTCAAAGTTCAGTAGTTCCTTATTATTCAGGGTAATCAATTTTTGATTACCTTCACTACTATATCGATAAGGGCGCTGGCATTGTTCGTGAAGAAGCGAGCATCGATTAAATGTCTGCAAACTGCATTTGGAATTTTGCGACAACTGCGACCCTCCCGCGTAGAGATTTCATTGACTGACGGAAACCGTCGGGAAACGGGGTGATAACTGAGGGATGATAAACGCCGCTGATTTTACAATCAATCATTGCGATGCTAAAAATGATTCGTGCTCCTTCCGCATGTATGGTGGTGAATACTGTCGAACGTTATGTTCATAAACGTTCAGTACGGATCGTCGACGATACGTCATCGAATTAAAAAGGGGACGTAAAGAAACGCCCGGGGACGCGATCGGAGCTAGTTTTGTGATGCCGACCACGGGATAGCGAATCGATGCTGCTCGTTGTCAATTTCATTTACGAGTCGATGCATCAATATGGAGAATTGGAATTCACTCTACCCACCCACACACTCCGCTCGTACTCTTCTTGATTCCGTTCACAATCAGCGTATCAGATGACCTCGACGTCGTCAACGCAGCTAGTCCGGGAAGGCCTCGACAAGTCAACAACAACTTGTTCCGGCTGGCTCCAAAGAAATCGAAGTGCAACAGCAAAGGACACGAAAAAGGTTAGCAGCGGGCCTCCCATTCTGTTTGGCCCACTTTTCCGTTTCGCCGTCATAGAGCACTTTTAGGTCGAAATTTTGGTCACATTAAATATTAATCGAAGAAAAGATATTCGTCCTAGCAGAATTCTGGGCAAAATTTTTATCAGCGGCGGTTATTCTTCAAAAGTGGGTATTTGGAACCTTAAAGGTGTTGATTTAAAGTTTCGTGACTGCATCTGATCGATCTAAAAACCATCTGAGGACCTTCGCTGTCGTTACGGTAATATATTGACAGTACTACATGCGGCAGTTAGTATTAAAAACCAGTATCTGCATTGATACAAAGGTGTGTACGCCATTTGGAACACCGCAAAGGGAGTGGCAGGTAAGGAGGGTGCTTCGACTAGCGCTCGAGTTTGGTGGACCCTATGAGTTCGAGTGCCTCTTAGTCAGGCCTCATATCTACAGTAATAGTTCTCATTTCGTACAACTACTGATATTTGCGCACACTGAAAGCGACTGAGCAAACATTGCACATTCAGGCGAGACATGGCGATAAGAAAGCAACAAGATACCCCGAGTTTGCAATAACATGAACCTACATAGCTAGTCCATTAGCTAATCAATAGAAAATATGAGTATGAGAAAGTGTTGAAGTACTGTAGGCATGAAGACGATAAGCAATTCGTACCTCCTGCGATTTACGTGAATTGCGTGAGCAACAGGTGCCCATGTGCGGTCGTCGTGATGGTATGTGGTGATGAGCGCGACCCGAGAGCGAGTTGGTGATGGCGGTGGTAGAGGGGGTAGGAGACGCGCACGGTGCGACCGACTGGGGCGGGGGCAGGGTCGCTTACTCATCCGCACACAGACACACACTCTCAATCAAAGTCTTCAAAAAGACACCACGACGTCACGGCTTCTGGAAGCGACTGCCATGTCGTTAGGGGAAGTCAGCTCATCAGAACATTTCCGGGATAGTCGCTACCTCGAACGGCATTCCACAAAAACCCAAGGGTATTTGGAACAAATTAATTGTAATGTCATGAATCTAATCATTATGATAATTATACGTTGCCGAAACGCACATATGTGTTGGACACAAGTTCGTGCTTCGTGCACGTGCACAAAAAACTAGTAAACATGTAGAATGACAAACGACATTGTTACATCAGTGCTGGACGAATTGAATTGCATCTTCAGTGATTCAGCCAGTGGAAATGGCAACAATTTTGCGGGTTCAAACCAGAAAAAAAGACACCCCGTATCGATCTTTTTTCTCACATAATTGGGTACATGCGAAAATGCATCAGAACGTGTTTTGTCAAGTTCCTAAAGTGGAGAGTGCCAGAAATCGCCCCTCCACGCCATTATGGTGCTGTCCAAGATTGAAACCGGAATGCGCATCAATTTGTGGTTGAATGTCACTAAAAGAACGATGGAGCCTTCTAACTTCCTTCTATGCTAAATGGAGTCGCAAAATCAATATTTTTGCACAAAGAACGTTCTGACTTCAATTTGTGCGGAAGGACATGAAAGCTGTGAAAGCCTTAGCAAAACATCTCGATGGAGCGTGGACAATTGGAAAACATCGTTGTAGGTCTCGCGTTCGCTTAGTTGTCGGAAAGAAGGTTTCCAACAAGAATTACTAGTAAGCCACCTGAGGTAAGAGCAAATGTATTTATTACTTCTTATAGAGCTTTACAATGATGGTTTTGCATTATAATATGAAACTGTGGGATAGATGTAGGCCTGTGGTTGAGCTGGCCAGTATGTGCTGCAGACGGGAACCTGAAAATATCATGTAAACAAATTCATAATATTATTTGATTTTAAAAGCCTTTCAGCAGTTCTCGTTGTCTGCCCTAGCCAATATGATCTATCTCTTCAATTTGAACTGGGCGGTGGTGTAGTGGGAAGAGGCGCCGCTCACTAACCATAAGACCATGCCGCTAGAAACCTCTGAACGGATCCCGCCCAGACCAACGAAACCTCCCACTGTTTCTAGTTGGTTGGTACGAATGGGTTCAATTTGGGATGTTGAAAACGCTCATTTTACATCAGCTGGTTTTTGCAGATCGCTGTACTGGCCAGATTGTCTTCAAGTGTTACAGCGATTCTAAATGAAAGTATAATACGTGGCGCATCCCAAAATGGGCCTGATTTACGTCAAACACTCAATCATCGCTTATACTCTTATCCTTCCACGTAGATTCAACACACTACGTCACTATAACGAGTGATCAAGAAGAATGCACGAGGCTTACTGGTTAGAAAATAAAAGCCAAATTGAACTTCAACACTGCTCCGATTCTGAAAGAATGTTCAACCCATGGCGCATCCCAAGCATAAGTGAACACTGTCTGAAGAACGTTCTTATGCCTCGTTGTTTATTATTTAATCAGATCAGACCACGAATAAGTTACAAAGCTAAGCACTAAATAGGGGAATAACTTTAGAGCCCTATAGACCCTTATTGAACAATCGAGTAACAGGTTAGCCCTTACGACCAACACCCCATAGGGATCGCCCTGAGCAGTGATTGGAAGTCCTGATCAAGCTGTACTTTTCAAAAAATAGATGAACGGATTACTGTTGATCACTATCGATTGAATGCAGTAGTTAGACAACATCAGCTTGAAGTCTAAAGATTCACTTTGTGCTGCGATCTTACAATTACTATGTTTTCAAATATTTATAAGGACATTGACCTTCGAATTTGGTTGCGCTTGAAGAAATGATCTTTTGCGCAAACTGTACGACCTCTCTAAGCCCTCACTATGGGCGACTGTGCTTGTGGAATTTCGTGTGATGAATTTCTAACTTAAAGAAGGTGAGGAAAAATGAATGCCCTTTGTTTTGAACCCTAACTTAATCAGAACAAAAGCTAGGCGGAACCAACGGAATGGTTTCGGTCCATCTTGCTGGCTTTATTAAACTACAAAGGGTGAGACAAATGACGAGGAAGTTTTGAACTGCGCGACGACCACCTCAGCAGGGTCGGTCCTATCGTTGCTACTTTCGAAGAAATTTTTACGACCCCCTCCCAAAGTGGATTTGCGTACACCCGCGTTCTCGAACCTCACCACCTATTTCCATCGCCTGTAGTATTTCAATTCATGGTATCACTTCGACCCACGAAGTACCCCGACCACTTTGGGGGCCTCCTTTTTTTTCAAAAAATATCCGTCGATATTATAGTCCATATAGGGTATCTATTAGTCACTCTGAAACGGTAAAAATTTACCTAAATTCCCTAAACTTCCAACAATTTACACCCCTACTCTTTACCTACTTTAATCCACGCTTCATTTTCTAGGGGGTATATAGCTGCGCGCGGCACAATATTTCACCAGCAAATTTATCATCCCGCGCCACTCCTCCTCGACCCATGCAAACTTCTCACATCGAAAACAAGTACGCCCCCCTCTACAACCTCATCAAAATATTACGGACCCCTCTACAAACTCATCAAAATGTACGACCCCCTCTAAAAAACTCAGCAAAAGTACGAACCCGTTTGCACTTTGTAGCAACGTAGGACCGACCTGCCTCCAGCGCTCTATCGGGCTAATTGAACTCGGCATTTTGAAACAGCGCTTATTTGATGACCCGGTGTGCGCTTTCTCGCCTAAGTAGCAACTCATTGCTACAGTGATCTCCAACACTCAAGCTTTTTCTCTAACTGGCTCAACCCCCCCCCCCCCAGGGTCCTACCCCTTCCAAGGCCTATCATTGGGGCTCTCACCTTGCTCTTCGAGTAGCAAAGTGCACAATCTTCATTAACCCCATGGACGTACTTTGGCCTGCGTCCATGTGACTTATGTGCGAGTTGTTCCCCAAAGGGTGACTGGTTTATATTACATATTATTCCGACAATGCATGCGTCATATGTTTTCCTTGCCTTTCACTTTGTCCCAACGTTGATCAGTCACACTTCCCAAAATGGGTTTCCTGAAGGTAAACTTCGGGATTAAACAGGTGCTATCAGCGCTTTGTGGTGATAGCTTGGCAGCGGAACGACCTGAAAGTGGAAAGGAAAGCAAGAGAAATCCTTGGGACCGTCGCAATTAAGGCCTTAACCTTCAGTAGGGCCGGATGTGGTACGATGGCGAGACAGGGCGGTCAAAGAAGACAAAATACGCGAGAGTGCACTCCGTTTGAGAGAGCACGCCGATTTCTACATCAATGCACGCTGATCTCATCACCTCTCGCGGCGGGTTGGATGTGTTATAACAGGAGTCGATGGTTGCGGGCCCGTAAGGACTAGCGCCCTAACCGCGCAGTATAGCGATGAAGCTGGAATGGTCCAGTTAGGTACGGACCTTACAATTTTCTCCGTGAAATCCCTCCTACTAGCCTTGCTAATCCCGGGGTTTGCCTTTAAGCCAGTGTGAGTTATGGCTAACAAAAAACGATACTCTAATAGGACTGTCCCGGGAAAGGAACTTGCGTTTCTTCTAAGAATGGGTCACTGTGCGCGGGGCTGTCGCGCCTGGTTTAGTCCAGTTTTAATTGCCCAATCTTACAATTAGAGCGTCATAACCCCCCCCCCCTATGAGGCTTATCACACGTCCGGCAGAAAAGCGTCACATCCTGTATAGCCGGTACTCTTACACTTGCCGCTAGTTACTTGATAAAAAGGATAAATGAAGGATAAAGCATTCGCCGTTGATCAATCCCTTTTTCGGGATTCGGCTCGCGTTCTACTTCCATTTGTAATTCGTAGTGGCGTTTGAATGCGATGTGGCCAATACAATGGCTTGCGTGGGCCAGCCGATGTACAAGTCAGTGTTTTTCATCCTCCCAGACAAGTTTGGTACCAATTAACCGACCCCGGGGGGTCGGAAGGCTTGATTGGCCCGGGCGACTCACGACCCAGGATTTGATCCCCGGACCGCTCGCGTAGTAAGCGTGCCACTTGCCACTATAACACTTCCGCACAGTTACTTGATAATATGGATGCGAACATAAGGGAGGAAGTGCTGCTGTGTCCAAAGGTTGATTTCTGTAGCTATGACCTCTTTACCATGACGAAATGCGCCCGATGGGCTTCTAATCATAAGTATTGAGATGCCTCGCTCCGCTAAGTGGTAAGATTCTGATAGTGCTCCTAATAGCGGTGTGGTTACCAGGAAAAGACGATGGACCGACTTAGCCACATGCAGTAAGACCTAAGCTGTTGGACCTGCTTTTGGACACTGATCTTGAATCTGCGTTCGAAATGTGCCAAGGTTTCCTGAGCAGAGTTGTGGAGCAAAATAGAGCAGCGGTAGCGGCCCGGACTTACGGGCAAGTGATCGTAGGATCGACTCTCTGACGGGTGATTTGCCTACAAATTTGCCTCTACGGTCATTTATCTGCGAAACATGAGTGTCACATTTGCCTACTGCAAAAACGTTTGTCAAGAGTTCTGTGGGCTGCATCTGCAGTCGTTAGCAAGTAGTGACATTACTTGTCAGAAAATCATCGCAAACTCTGTAGAGGTAAGTATAGGCAAGCACTGATTAGGTAGCGTAGTTGGGAGCCTTTTCCAACCATGCTGCCGCGAAGGAACGCGGGAGAACCCGTCAGGGAATCGATCCTAAGACCTCTCGCTCGTGAGCCCGGATCACTACCTCTGCTCTCTTTTGCTTCATAGCTCCTTTCAGAAAATCGATCGGTAGCTTTGTAAAGTAGATTCGAGGCCAGGGTCCGAAAACACATCCAGCAGTTTAGGTCTCACTGCGTACGGCCACGTCGACCCATCCTCCTCTCGTGGTCAGTGCTAAGGCGAAGCTAGCTTCGCCTTTCGACGTAAGTTCCGCCTTCAAAATGAACCGGGCAAAAAGCAAAAAAAGGTGTTTTTCCGCGATAATAACATGAGGTACCCATTGAGCCTTATTCTGCATTTGTTTGGAGTAAACACCCAAAGCAAATCTCAATGCTTACACGCGCTTTGCTTTTGAATTTCAGCCTACACGCTAACAAAAATCAACAGTTTGGGCATCAGACATTGTTTGCTGAATTCTCTACTTTTTCGGGATCCTTCGTCACATGGTGTTACGTAGAGGTGTAGAAGTATTATGCTCTGAATCGTCAACACCTGTACTGCATTGTCAATTTCTTGAAAATCTTGTAAGTGTGGAGCCGACACCTCTTGAGGTGTTAGGGTTTTGGGACAGACAAGGGCAACTAATTCACTGCAAAAAAAAGTCAATTCAATATCAAGAGTCGTATTCTCCACTTGTTCAGTTCTGTTCTAATACTAAAAGACTCAATTGACGCGACTATCCGAGAGCAATTTTCAAGGATATGCAGAGCCCTGCCGTCAGGAGGGTCGAAGTTTCAGGAAAATATCCTGAGCTTTTGAGATTCTCTGCGAAAATACCTACACCGAACCTTTGGCCTTTGCTATTTATTAAGATTCTTGTAATTAATTCTTTCAAGTGATTTTAATACTGGTAGTGTCAGGCCAAGTGATCATATAATGTGTCGTATCAGAAAGGAGCAACCCAGTGTGCTGTACCGTCATTGTTTTCCTGTTTGCACAAAATTTACCGCAGCGCAAGTTCACGCATATCGTTTGGTCGCTGGTCTCTTAGGCGATCTTTGAAACTCTGCGTAAAACAGCTCTATTCAATAAAATATGGCCTTCTCCCGTAATCGTCAAGGAGAGGCGAATTGTTTCGTGCTCCTTGGACCAGAACACTGGTATAGCGGCGAGAACTATCGAAATGGTAGAAAATTGTCTCATCGAATTTTCAAGGGGCTATTCCTCAATTCGAACAAATGGAAGTCTAAATTGTTTACAGCGTTATTCAATTACTCCCTGTGACTCATAGCCTAGCAACACCACTGGGCGAAGCACAGGGGACGGTGACGTAGCTCAGACAAAATTGGCAGCACCGGGCCTTGAACCAGGGTCAACCGTTACGTTGGACCAATTTCGAAAATTTTACGACCCCCTCCCCCTTCTAGAGGGCCTCGATGCGACCCCCGCAGGGTTCACGACCATCCCCCACCATCCTCGCCTGCTATCGCCATAATGGGGGCATTCTATGGTATTTCATTCTGAGAACAGTCGGCACAGCGCAACTCCGCCCACTTTTCCATCCAAAATTGCTGTACGAGCGGGGGTGGGGGGGGGGGGATATAAAAATCAACTGAATGGAGGAAAATAGGAAAAGAAGAAAAGAAACTCACTGCTTGTGCTAACCTGTCTGAACCTCCCAATAATTGATATGGCACTTGTGAAGGCGTAAGCTTTGATACTGAATAAAAACATTTTTACCAACATGCAGAATTATTGAGGGTGATATTTTTCACTTTCGAAAATTGCAGTCATTTAAATCTATTCAGCTTAATTAAGCTTATACTAGGAGAATTTATCCAAATGAACTCACTATTTTGATACGGGTTGAGCGACTGAACAGCGCTTGAGATGTCGCTTCCACTGTTCATGGAATTCTGACAGGCTTGTGCAAGTCCTTGGAAGTCGAACTTGTAGGCGTACCTTTTACCGTGGACCTGAAATAAAATCACATGAAATCAATAATAATGTTTTGTTAGTGGGAATTTTAATTTGTTCGCATACGTGTTATGTCGTGTTTTAAAGGCACGATCCGGGATTAGGGGCACTCGCCTGTTACATCCCGGTGGTAGTAGAAGGCTGACAAGAGTTGGTGTCGCGCCCCTTTTGTGGCTTGAAAGTGCGCGACAAGGGAGCTAGAAGCTCCACCGACCCGCAACTCACACATTCCTCCGCAAGCCCCACCCTCCGCTGTTGGTTGCCATGTAACGCTGCTTGAAAAGCGCGGGCGCGTTGGAGACACCGGTCTCATTGCGACCCAATGTTATTGGCACTGGAGCAACTAGAGTTAGGTTCACGAAACACGTCCAACTCGCCCCTTCTCAATTTCAAGGTGGAATGCGGCTGAAATAGGGAAGGTCTTTTTAAAGGGGAGTTAACCATTAGAATGCAGCCGATTAGAGTCGAGGTAGAGCTGATCATTGATTTCAGGACTGATGCGACTCTAACTGGAGCTGGACTGCCCAGCGATAGAGCTTCCTCTGTCAAAGGGCTAGAGACCTGTGGCAAGTGATTAGCCAGTTAATGGAGGTGCCACGCCAACAGCGACGCGACATGGCCTTGCTAGGTCTCTGAGGGCGTAAGCCTCCCAAAGAATGTGTGTCCGTTTCTCCGCTACGTAGGTTTTTTTTTCTGTGAAACAAGGTGATAAATGAGGTGAGGTAGTGAGCACATATGTCTCATTGTCCACTCCATACTCAACGACGAAAAGCTCTGAACAGTGATCGGTCCTTCAGACTTCACTGTGTGCATATATTCGATTCATCCCTCCATCAACTCATTGAAAGCAAACTCCTAGATCACACTGGTCTATCAGAGCGCTTCGTAGTAATGACCGAGCTGTGGGATGAACTGAAAGTGGAAAGGAAAGCAAGAGTCATCGGAAATACCGAACTTAAAGCCTTAACCTTCACTCAGGCCAGATGATACAACGGCGAGGCAAGGCGATCCAAGAAGGCAAAACACGCGAAAGGTCACGCCGTGAGAGAGCGCGCTGATCTCGACCTCAATCGCAGTGGGTGGGGAGCGTTGCAGTGGGAGTCGGTGGTTGCAGGCCCGTAAGGATTAGCGCCCTAATCACGCAATTTTGCATCGAATTAGCATGATCTATGCAAATACGGACCCTACAATTTTCCTTGCGTTCTTTTTCTTAATAGTGGTGCTGATCCCGTAGCTTGCCTTTAAATTCCAATTACAGTCGAACGTGCTGCTCATCTACATAGTTTGAGGCTTATGAGCACTCGAGGCAGTACTACTCTCGATGATTCACACTAGAGAGATTGGGAAGAAAGAATAACAAGCCAGTTCAAAGCTAACCTTGGTCATTATATTCTTATCGTAATAGTACCGCAATGCTCGACTGAGTTTATCGTAGTTCATATTCGGTTTACTGAAATTTCAATAGTGGAGTGAGCGTGTTGAATACTTCTTCTATAATAGCTTATCATACCTCTTCCGTTCGCCCCACTTACGGGCCACTTCATCAGGATCAACCAGCTTGAACTCCCCGCTTCCTCCTTCCCATGCGATACAGTGAGCATTTGAACCTGCATCCGCCAGAAGTTCAAGTAGGAATTGCCATAGTTGAATCTGGCCGCTTCCTTTAAGAACTTTTTTACTTCAATATTTCATCAGGGAAAAATGTTCCATAATTTTTCAATTGAATTCCGATTTTGACCTCGATTTTTCGTAAAGACATAAGGTCGAATGAGATATTCAAGATCAAAATACAAGAGACCCTAAAATGCCTCGTAAAAGCTTTTTTAATTCCGGAACCGACCGTTTCGAACGGCAGCACACTTCGCGGGACGGTTCCCCATTTCTGTTTCCGAGACAAAATAATGAAAAAGAAGGCCTGGGTAATGTACTTAAAGGTATTTTTTCCCTTTGTGGCACTTCGCTCTGGGAGAAACCGCTCAATACCAAGAAAGATATCTCACACGCGAAAAATACTATTTCGAGTTAAATATAAATAATCAAAATTGACATAGTAGTTATTGATTACTGTAAGCTATAGCGCACATGAGAACATTGCCACGCCCGTCAGACACACAAAGCACATTTTCCAGAAAAACGGAAATACTTGTGCAAATATTCAGGGAATTTTAAATTTCTGCAATGGGTTCAATACCGAATTATTAGTTGTATAGTAAATATTTTCATATAATAAGAGCAGGAACATTTTACTGTCCCTATTGTGACACATGTAGGCGGCTCGCTGTGACGGGCCCGCACATGATTTGGAATACTACAACAATGTACTTTGGGCTTGCACTGAGAGCACGTAGCCGATGCCTCAGTTGTAATTAAACTGTTTTTAAGATTTCTGTAAAACGTCTAATCCAAGGGTGCCATTACATGTGGTTAGAACAACACCTTAGAAAGCAACCTAAATGTTCTGTTGGCAATAAAGGAAGTCGCTCTGTAGCCCTAGGAAGTATAGGCTGAGGAAGTACTGTATTTTTGGAAAACTTGAAAATTTTGAGAAGTTGGCATGATTTTGCTAAAGCTGAAGGAATGCAAAATTTTTGCCGTCTGTGCCATTGCTACTGCTTAGACCCTTCCGTCCTCTAACCCTTTCCTTTGAGGGATGTGTCATTTAGGTAGGACTAGGTCCAGCAACTACAGGGGTGGCCGAAAAAAGAGACACTTGGCTCCACATTTCAGACAGCATTAATCACACGTTGCTAGAGTGAAATCGACTACCCCCAACTCAGCATTGAAGAGCACCTTCTAATCTATCTGAACCTTACATGACAGCCTTCTAAACCAACGACATCAGAAGATTTTCCCACGGAAAAATGGTTCGCGATGCGAGCTCAGCGGGGTCGTCGAGGTACCATAGACCATTACGACGTCCTTGAAAAGCTGGTCAAAAGCGGTTTTACATAATCACAGCTGGTGTCTCTGGGAAGCTATTCAACAGTCAATCCATTGAAGAAATCATCAAGCAGCTTCATGCCGGAACGATTACGGTAAGCCTCGTTGAGTTCGACGGCGGCGGCAGGTGACGTCATATTGTGAAGACGACGGGGGCAGTGAACGAGGGCCTGCTTCTGTTTACGGGGGAACACCTAAGGAGTATTTCGCCGTAGAGCTTTCATTAACATCGGCACCCTGTGCGACGAAAAGTTCGATGATGTGCGCCGGGGGCAAAGTGTCTCTTTTTTTTGGCCACCCCTGTATAGGTAGACAACCATGAAATGGTAAGGATGCCGGAGGAAGACCATACCGCTTCCAAAAGCGGTCCTACGCGACAGATAGCCCTCACTAGAAAACAATTTTCCAGACTACATACTCCAATCGAGGAACCAACCAACTGGCAGAACGTCCCTACTCACAGCGTATTTGATGGAGCCCTACTCAACTACATGTGGATTCTAGCATTTTTCAGAACTCAAAATTTAGGAAGAACCAGGGATTCTGGCAATAGGCTTTGCTATGCTAGGCGTTCTAGAGCCAGAATTCCCAAGATTTAAGGTCACTGAGGATTTATGAAGTACCAGATGGATTTCAACAACAGATATGGTGTTCGGTCATAGTAGATCATCACTTCATTTTTTCATAAAAAATTCCATTTGCTTGTGTTTTCTGTCTGCTCACCTTGATTTGGCATTCGAGACAGCAACGATGTGTACTGTAGGCATCCTGAAAGCATAATTGCAATCGAAAATTTTCGTGCTTCATTGAAATCTGGTGAGCACTTTCTCAGACACATTGGACAGAGAGCAATTATTAAGCAAAGAAGGTAAACGCGGCATTATGTTCGCCCCAAGCCGCTGCCCTAATAGTCCGATGGCGGTGAGTGGCCCGAAGCAGAAGAAACGCTTACAGCCGCCCTTTCACAAATGAACCGCCATCGGAACAATTAGCGAAGGAAGTCGGATTTGCTATTGTTGAATGAGGATCAGATTGTATTGAAGACAAATTGAATGGAACTTTCAAAAAACTCCGTTTTTAATTTTAAAGCTGCACCGCCGCTCAAATTATCTCCGTAAAAATCCCTTTTCCAAAGAGTCTGCCTTGAATTCAACGTTCCAATCTAAAAAAATCCTCATTTCAGAAAGAAAGTGAGGATTCCTGACACAATTAAAAGAAAACCAAAAAACCCTATCACCGACTCAAATGGAGTCAAATGTTTCCGTTGAGACAGTGGAGATTCATAAAAGTAAAGTTGGTTGAAAAAATGAAGTGCAAAGCACTTAACCATTGGTCAATTCCTTTTCAGGCTGCGCCTTGTATTCTACTTCCATTCTGGATCGTAGTGGCAATTCGATTCGATTTGGCCTATACAATGGGCCGCAAAAGCCAGCGGATGTAAAGTAAATATATGTATCCTGCCGGAAAAGTCTGGTACCAATCTACGGCCCCGAACGAATGGAAGGCTAGGTTGGTGTGAGCTGATACGATCTGGGATTCGTTCTCCAGACCGTGAGCGTGGTGAGCAGCTTCACTTGTCCCGACACAAAAAAATTGTAACCGCAGTTGATTTACCTAGCTTCCAAAATTGTGATTGTTTGACCTGACTCTGAAGAGCAACTACGTAAAGGCGCAGTTCTAAGAGCTGGGAGTACTGTAGGTGCAAGAGCAGTGCAAAAAATTGCACATAATAAACGTTAAGCCGCTGATTGTGATTAATCCAAAAAATATCCGTATCAGAGTAGAAGCAATCGCTTTCAAAAAGCGTTACTGCTGTGCAAGACGATGCCCTGTTTGTGTGTCCTAAATACCCTGAACCATTCCAGGATGATTGCCAAAGTGTCCCTAATCATTCTAGTGGGATTTAACCAGGAATTCAAACACAATCCTATTGCTACAATATCCGATTTTCAGAAACTCTATGCTCTGAATTGGTTCATAACGAAATTCGGTTTCCAGTCAATTGAAAAGAGTATCCTAGAGCTTATTAGAAGAGCTGGGATCCTCTGTTTTCCTTTCGTCGGTCAGATGCAGTCCATGATTCTCATCCCCATCGAGCGCGTAACTAATAGTTTCAATCTGAAGCCTTCGATTAGAATCAAAAAAGCGAGGAATCTTGAGCGCTTAGCCCTAGTCAAGCAAGGATTCATTTGTCCCTGGATTTTGGAGCTCTACAAAAATATGCATGAAATTCACACGAATCTCATCCACTATTTGACCCATTCGCGACAATGGCAGTCACCGGTGGCCGCCAAAGACCCCACTCGGTAAAATGGCAACCACCGCTGTTGCTGTGTTTCAGATAGAATTTGGGAACTTTTCTCCCCTGAAAAGAATCTTCATACCCTCATTCATCTACATACACCAGCCCTGAGCAGGGAAAATCTCTATCCACTCAGATTTTATTGTAGAAAGATCTCCCAACTCTACTGCTAATGTGCAATCACGCGCGGTCGCGAATGGGTTAGACCAATTTGGACTTCGTCCTTCACCATTTATTGCTTTGAAGAAACAAGTATGCATATGTAGCTACGTTGTGATAGGCGGGTTACTGTAGGTATACTATAGCGCGAAACAGAACGCTGTAGGACGAAACAGACTCAGAGATATAAAGCATTATTAGTTGTATAAAGTCAGCCGTCCATATGAGGGTGAAGAGGAGATAATGGCTTTCGCCCGCGTGCTATCTGATCTCAGAAGACAAATATCCGTGTTTGTATGCAAATTGAAACCTCAACGAAAAGGGCACCAGAAACGATAAAGAATATTTTCTAGGAAAACATTGCCAGAAAATTGTTGTGAAAACTGCTTGTTGTTTTCAAATGGACAGGAACGCATGAATTTTACATTTTCAACATCAACTTGAACGAAGCGCCCTGATTACCTGTATTTAGTCGGCTGGTTTCCGGTTGCGATAAAGATGTATCCCATGGTGTCCGTTGACACATGTTTTCATATCCATCTTAAAAGATATTAAATTTGTAGGCTTGCAAATTATACAGTAAGCCAGAAGATTCTTGAAGGTCAGAGAAGTACAAGCTAGCTCAGGGAATAGAGTTCTTGAATTCTAGAGTTCTCTAGTCTAGAATTCTTACTAGTTGCGGGCAATACCTACCTAAAGCAGTGTGGTAGCAACCTATGCGAGGTGCTTGGTAAGCGGTTAAGTTTGAATTCATCTACTTAAAAAAGGGCAAGCTAAGGAAAAAGTAATTTTCATAACGCTAAGTTGAACAATCGCCATTGAAACGTGAAAGGTACAAGGTGGTGCCTGAACCTCGGGTTAGGTGATCAGTGAAGCTTGCCGAAATTCACGATAAACTTCAGTGAAATGTGAAATCTCGGTTACACTTCCAATGTACTTTTGGGTACCTCCATCAGGCTGTCCTGCTGCTCGAAATTATACTTTTCGATGTTGAAAGTTCTGGATGGCAATTTTCGGCGCGACAGTTATTCTAACCAGATAAGTCAGGAAAAGGTGTTACTAGTGAGCAACGGCAATGTGCCATGACTGGAGGCAGGGTATGAAGCGGGAGAGGAAGGAAACGAGGTTTCCGCCGGGTCAGGAAATAAGCTGCGGAAGCGCCGCTTCCGCTCTATTGTGGAACTCGGGCAATGGCCAAAAAAAGACGCTGACTGGTGTCCGGATTTCCGTAGGCGTCAACACTACATCATGTCGGCGAATCTGTCATGGATTGGCTCTAGTGAATTCGTTGACACCCTGATGAAACAGCAGAACTCACTTAGGGATGGGTACATAGCTTCTGGAGGTGTTTGAGGTAGCTGGTGGTGTTGAGTGCTCCACGTTCGAGCTCCCGCCCGCTTCAACCCAGCTACCGTAGTATCGGCATGGCAACCAGTGGCAATTAGAGCACACTTCCGATTGGCCGACCACCTTCCGCAGACGGGGGATTCATCGTTAATGGCAATTTTATTGAACATTCAAACTGCATAATCGTTATTAATCGCTCTAACACGTCTTCAATATTTATCATCAAAATCACATCGAAAAATCGCTGCTTACTGCAGCACACACATCCTGGCCGCATCATAACAAAATAACGAATATTTAACGTAAAGTCAACAGCTCCATTAAAATACACGTACATTGAGTGAGTTCTGCAACTCTACAAGTTTCTCATAGAGTAGCCTAAAGCGAATGTGTAGACGTTACTGGCGATGTCAAGCTCTTTTTCGAGTTGCTGTACTGTCGCCAGAAGTTTCGATTCTTCTATAAGAACCACCTCAGCCATCTGAAAATCCACATTTTTTACTTTTCAGAGAGTAAACAAACAACTGGCACTACATCATGTTCCTAATCTACGGCAATTACTAGGGAACCACTTAGAACCACGGCGGTGATAGATCGCTTGCAAGCTGTGCAAGACTCGGCTCTATAGGCGACAGACCAATGAATAGCAGCAGTCCCAGCAAATTTCAAGATCAGCATTCAATAAAGTTGAGAGATGAAAGTTTTGAAGATAAGCCGTGACTACGGATAGCCCTTTTTCATTTGAAAGCTAACGAGATGTTGACAATACGTAGGTACTTGTGTACCTAGGTATTGTCAACATTTTAGCTGCAGTAGCTTATGGATGTGCTCTATGTATATATTGCTTTTATCGAATTTCAGCTACTCTACAAGATGTTGGTAGGATCTGTGAACATCTACATAGGGCAGAGATAAAAGCTCATCTAGGAGATCGGGTTGACTTTCATAAGAGGGAGGGCAGTGGTCGTAGCAGGATCGTAGGGGGTCGTAACTGCATTTTTAACAGGGAAACGAGTAGAGTTTTTGAAAAAAATGTGGAATTAAGCCTCAAGTAGCCCAAAAAAGTTCTGAATGTTTTTTTGTGCCTTTACAACATTTATACATATGTGCTTCCAAGAGTTCACATACTATACACCACTCACAAGAGATGGTGGGCATATTTTTTGAAAAAGGACAGTCGGTTCTAAGTGAGATAGAAGTTGGAGGAGCGATTAGGATAGGTAAGAACAAGATAGAGCTAGTGCAGGGGTGATCAAAAGAAGGGACCATGCGTAGGAGGGGAGGCCTCAGCTTCACTACGAATTTTCTGACCGTAAGGGTCAAGGAAGAACTAGTGGAATTCTCAGCCAATCCATCTGTATTATTCTTACTTTTCCATCCCTTCCCAAGCTTACTTTTTAGGCATTTATAAGCCTGATAGCTACGAAAAGGAGCGCTCAACAGACATAAAAATATAACTAGCCACCCCGTTTCGGAAAAAGAGGGTAGGTTGTACCTAGTCGGAGTAGGCAGAACAGGAAGACTAAAGATGACTATTGGTCAAAGCTGCTAACTTCAATGTCGTTTTCCTCAGATCGACTGGAATTGCGATATAATCATGACCAAAGTCGAGAAGGTGTCTCTAAAGAAGTCAAAGACGTAAGGACAAGTTTAGAGCCGATAAGGAGCCATAATCGGAAGATGCACTGAGCAAAAAAACGCAGATTACTTTTTCTTGCCGGTGTCATTCCCTGTCACATGGGCACCCTCCAAGAGGCCCGTCGCGCGGCAAGAAGGCACGAGTCGTCGGCGTACTTAGGGATTTCGCGTCAAGTTAAATGGAGTGTCCATTCCACGTCCTACATCGCCCACCCCGCGCTGCAGCTCGTCCGCCGACCCCGCCTTCTTGCCGCGCGGCGGGACTCCTGGGGGGTATCCCTGCCATATCGTTCCAGCTGGCAGCCAAGGTATTCTCCTCCTGGGAGAAGTGGCTAACGTTGTCGCGAGGTTTCAAGAAACAGACGAATGTCTATCTGTTTGGCGAAGATTGTGCCTTGAAACGAACTAGCGAATCTTGGCTAAATAAATTCCCAGAGCTGTGGGTGGAAGCTTCATAGCATTCTCCTATAATAGTTCCTCCAAGCACTTTTCAAGCCCTGGACTCCGTTGGAAAGCCGTCTACGACGAACTGGAACTGAATATCGACACAGCCTTCTTCATCAGACCCATCACCGTAATTCATCAGACCATATGCACACATATATGTATGAGCTGTCTTTGGCAATGGATCCCTGCAGGCTTTTGTAGATATTGCGAGTTTTTGGTAAGCCTTCTTTTCACTGTAGTTTGTAATTTGTCATCACATGGAAAAGAAATACCGTGAAGAACATCTGCTAACATGACCTAGAAAATGCACAAATCGCTAGCATTTTGAATTCCACGGTTCACTGACAAAGCTTAATGAAATCACAATTCAAAAGGTGATGAGTTTCTATGAAAGAGTTGAGGTGAAGCGTGTTTGGGTGGTGTAATGGTTGGCATACGCGCCTGAACATCACACGATCAGAGTTCAAGCTTCAGTGAGGTGCAGGGGTCTCGCCCTATACTCAGCATCCTATTGTAACAAGAAATTCTGCTGATTATGAGAACAACCTGCATCACTCACCTCAGCATCGTCAAGAAATTGTTGTGGATCCAAGTTATTTCCTGGCTCTTTATCGATCTCAACAACCACATGCCGTGCTGCATCGTTGAGCCGTGAAGGCATGCTGGCTTGTCTGCCAGTGGAACTGAGAACAAATTCTAAGGGATCGAATAAAAGCATTATATTAACACATTGACAACGAGCGTATTTATCCTTTTCGCGCGCATGGGACGAGGCGTTTTTTGTATGCAGAGCACCGGTAACCACAGGGCAAAATCTATTTTGCACCCAGAGTCAACCCTACGTTGCGCAGTTCGCAACGGCACGTTGGGAGATCCTCAACGCACGCTGTATGGGCGGAGACGCAGACGGCTCGAGCATGCGAGTGTGAATGTTCGCGCGAGAGAACGTGTCTAATCGGGCGAAACTGCGCAACGTGGCCGTTGAGAACTGCGCAACGCAGGGTTGACTCTGTTTGCACCTCTTCTACATCTCAAAATACACAAGGTCTCCATTAGAGTGCTCCAGGCACATTTAAAATAGGTAAGTTGTCAATATTGAACGATTGATGAAATTTCAGTGACATTGCCTGACATTCTGAAAACCTAGGAGGAGATTGATATAAAAGGCGAAATTCCACGCAACTTCCATTTTTCTTATCAATATCAGCTTTATATCAGCTTAGTTTTGTATGGAATTGGCATCCTACTAAGATCCTCCAATATGCGAAAAACTCTGCCTGCCTTATGAAATGGCGCCTCTTTTTGACTGTTAGCTTGCATTCATGATCAAATAAGGGGGAAGAATTGATTCAAATGAGTCAATACAGAAGAGAGAATCAGAAAAATTGTAGAGGACGATTTCGGACACCGATGGACTAAATATGTACTTTTGCCTTTGCATAGAAGTGACACTGTGCCCACTTAGCCATCGAAGCCAAACAGCCCATCAACCAGAACGCTTGTGTCGAGCTCTTATAGCTATGCGTTCTACCCATCCAACAGGGCCAAGCTCCTTCCATGCTTCGTCTGCTGCTGAAAATTCTTAGTAATTACCTGAACACTATTTTTGTTGCGACATATCCAGTCTCCTCTCTAAGCTCACGAATTCCAGCTTCTGTTGAACTCTCGTCCGCCTCTTGAACACCTTAATCAATAAGTATGTGTATGTTATGATACCTTTGAGCCCTAGTTACAAAATTTAATTTTTTTTTCATATAGAATATCAATTTTCAAAGATCTGGCTGCATTACAGCAAATTTCGCAAGCTTTTTTGTGCTCATGCGCTAAGGGGGGCATTGAATTAAGTGGGCCACTTATAGAACTCGGGACTAAGCCTTAGAGAAGGCAAAGGATTTTGAGGGAGAGAGTGAGCAACCACCGCCCTCCCTGGTGTTTATTCCCAATCCTCAGCTTAGTCCTAGTGTCACCCACCAGCGTTTTTGAATGCATTGTTTTGAATCTCCTCTCTGAGAACGTGCGAGCCGCTTTTTCTTTATCAATGGGTAAAAAAGCGACAATCGAGTTTTGACGTTTGCCAAGCACTCTACTTCCATTCGGAATCACGCTGCAATTTTGTTTTTATTCATATCGTGCCTTTTCAGGCGATTCAGTGAATTAAAGGCAGTGAACACGGCAGCAGCGGTGGAACGATTTTGATGACGCTATTGATGTGATCGGTGGAAAGGCGAGTTAGGTCCCAATCACACTCCCCTGTGCGCTAAGGGACTGCTATTCAAATGATGCCCAATGACGTCTTTAAAACCTATCCACGATCCGCTGTTCACTATCTTTACGAGGAGTGGCTGCTGGGCGACACTCGAGCCAGTGTTTTTCCTTTTCAAGGCGAAAAATCTGGTTCAGTTTGCCTGGTGCGGGAGATTCGAGAAAGAGTCTGATTCCCAGGCGATCTGTACGCATGCAGTATGGATCACATACGGTGGCAACGCCATTTCTTAGAGCCTCACACACTACTTCAAGATTTGATTCCAGGTTAGAAATGCAATATTCTTCTATGGAATCAATTCAACTGACCTCCGGGAAATTCGAGTGTCCAGCTTCTTGAAGGGATTCTGTATTGCTTGATAAATACGAAGTAAAATTGACCTTGACTTCTCAGTCGGGCTATTACATGGACTCCGTTTATACCGTCCGGATTCCTCGGTGTGATCGTGTCCATGAATTCCCATATCTACAGAATGTATTGGTTCACAAAGATTGAAAAAATGATAACAAATAGTCACTAGTAATAGTCAGATATAATAATCGAATGTTAAAAGTTTTGGAAATGTGACTGACGTACAGTTAGTGACTTGCAACAAATTTAACTTCTGCAGAGCAATTTATGCTGATAAGCTGCCCGCGGTCACAAAAAAATGTGATAATGAAATTATCTTGTTGGCCAGGTTCAAGGTAGGTGATAAGATGAATTAGGCGCCCGTTATGAAGGAAGCTGAACTGCTAAGAGGTGCACAGTGAAGAAAAAAGTGAGAGAAACTGCCCAAAACCGTCAAAGAGGGATGTCTCCTCGCTGCCTTCTCACATTGAGTGAACATTACTGGTAGTGACTTCATCAACGTGAACCTCACCCTGTCCTTCTCCTAAAGCGGCCTGAGTCCGACGGAGGAGGAGAACAGCAGCTGGGGTCCCCAGTTGAAGGACGGGGCGGCGTTGTAAGGCTGCTTTCATACTTCGCGCCGGTGCGGTCAGTGCGGTCGGTGCCGTCGGTGCCGACGGCGCCGACCGCACCGACAGTGCGAAGAGCGTCAATACGCGCTCTGGCGCATGACGCGTACGTTGGGCGCGGATGGCGCTGTCCGATCGATAATCTTGGTTTTGGTGTATTTCTTGTCTTTTTCGATATTTTTTGCGCAGTCCTCCTTTTATTAATGTGTTTTCTGTTCATACTTATTCTTTTACATATGTCTTGATGAAGACATAAAAGAAAACTTTTCAGTTGTTCCGCCGAACGACGTCGTACAACCCCGTGTGTCGCGGATGCGACGGTGGCCCCGTGGGCGCACCGTGCGCCCCGGCCCATTCCCGCCCTCGCATCCAATGCGCAATGCTCCGCGCAATGCGCCCATTGCGCCATTGGCTCCGCCCCTACGGTCAGTGCCAGCCGGGCAGTCGTCGTGTGTGCCTTACGGCGAGCGGTGACCTGCCTTGCCTCGGACGTCCCCTATGTCTACCTAGCTGTCAGGTGAGTGTATTGAATGGCGTTGAGCCCCCTAGCAGTTGAGGTGCTGATGTTGAAATGTCTAATACGTGTCCCTGTGCTGGCATCCAGGGGTTGGTCGGTGTTGACCGGGCAACGCGAGGAGGCACTGGAAGGCGAGGAGGGATGTCCCCTCCGAGCCCGAAGGTTGCGGAGCGCCACCCGTTAACTGGTCGTGGTCCCTCCCCTGCTCCCCGTCTGGGAGCAGCCAGGTATCGCGCCCCGTCTCGGACCCGCTGACCGTGAGGGCCCCCTAGAAGTGTAACATCCGAGCGGATGGGGGTCTAATACGTGCAGTCAGCTGGCGTGGTCTGCCCTTGAGCGAGGTGGCCGAGGGAGATCAGAGGTGATGGTAAAATATTGCGTATAATAAATATATTGTTTATATGTTGTATTTATGCTCATGTGGGTTTTGCCCTAATTCTATGTGTTCTCGCCATGGTTGGCAAGTGTTTGGCACCCTTGGTTCTGACCCGGGAGCTGCGGGAGGCAGTCGGGACCCGTTAGGAACCCCATGGTTCCCGAGGGGTTGGTCCATCTCTCCTGCGAGGTGCGCAGGAGAGGTGTTGTGTACCCGATGGAAAGTCCTCGGACCGAAAGGTTCGAGGCGTCAGGAGTTGCTAGGCAGAGCCCACCGATGCCGATCGAGAACAGGTCATCTACGGCTCGCGACACCGTGTGAACGTGGCTTCAAGACCCGGTGAGTTCATCATGAGCAATTTTGTTTATTCGAGTAAACTGTATGTTTCCAGTAGTTGCTTTCCCTTCGATACGATTCCCTGCTAGTGTGCGAAAAATTAAATTACCAAGATCCGGCGGCCTTTCGCACACCAGAGGAAAATCGTACCGAAGAAAAAGCAAATTCTAAATTTATAGAGTCCACTCGAATAAATAAAATTGCTTATGATGAACTCACCCACTGTAGCCACTACCCGGGGTAGTACGACGGGGTTCTACGAAGTCGCTCGTCCGCGGAACAACTGAAAAGTATGAAACGACACATAAAAGAATAACTATGAGCAGATAACACACGAATAAAAGCAACACGGCGCGAAAAAAAACATCGAAAAGCACAAGAAATACACAAAAACCAACGGCATCGATCGGAGCCCCCCATCTGCGCCCAGCGCACGCGTCATGCGCCAGAGCGCATATTGACGCTCTTCACACTGTCGGTGCAATCGGCGCCGTCGGCGCCGTAGGCACCGACGGCATCGATGCGAACTATGAATACAGCCTAAGGATGAGGATGGCAGGAACTTCATGGCAACAACCTGTGAATTACAGTAGAAGCCTTAAAATGAAGAGTTTGTATCCTCGCAACTATCGGAAAAATATTGTATAACCATTCTAATACATGTTACTCGTCAAAATTTTTTACTGGAAAAGATGGTCTGGAAAAATGTTACTGGAAAATGTGTCAGTTACGTACATATGTTACCATTTCCGTAACTGAATAATATCTATAGCATGCTTTTTGTTCCGCTGTAGTTATTTCACTATGAATTGTGCTCTATTTCGATTTAAAATGATAACTTTGCAAATGTTCACATTCCGATAAAAAGTCATCAGACATGGGGTCGTCAGTGACCTAAGGGAAAATAGAGATACATTACAGCTTAGCCCACAGCATGACTACATCTACCATAAAGCATGGAGACTACTGACACCAATTTGAGGATAGGAGTTTAGTAGCTTTCCTTACTCCTTCCATTGATTTATGGAGTGATTCGGCCAGATTGTCCTCAGCCTACCTTTTCTGACCGCAAGAGGTTTACAAAATGTTTCCGTTTGCTCTATATGTACTGCTTTTATTAGGCTGGAGGATCATCAAGGATTTCGAAAACGCTTTGCCCTCATGTCTGACTGCGATAATGTATAAGATTTAAAGGCAATGATGGTGATAGCAAGGAGGCGGAGGCAATTTGGGACGCCAATGAAGGAAGAGCTTCGGCAGGAGGCGCGGCCATGAGGACGCTGGAAAGTATGTTCAGCCTCCTAGCAATGGCAGTCGCTATCTTCAAATGGAAAAATATGTATGAGTTAACTATGTACTTTGAAGAAAAAAGATCATGTAACTCACCCCAGGTTCTCCAGACCTTCCTACAAAATGAGCAACTGTCAGGTTTGAAAATTTCCCATGATATGTTGTTTCTACGTATTCAATCGTGATGGGTGAATGACCACAAGCCTTGAATAGAGTAAAATTTTCAGTGAATATTGTAATACATCTCTATAGTTGAAACCAATGAAATTCCTGTTTTAAAGCGAGAGATTACGATAGGGTTGTGGTGTGTTTACAGTGGAAGTGGAGATGCTGAATAATGCCCTATTAGCGAAAAAGGCAGAGAAATCCGTCAAAAACTCGCAAAATGGGACCACTTCCACTGCCCGTTTGATAATGGACGAGTTGGCAACCAACTGAGAGGTCGTCGGCCTCGTTAAACCATAGCCACCATCATACCACCAGAGATCATGCCTTGATTGATAAAGCATTCCATTAGAAGGTTATCGGACTCGCACTCGAAGTGGCATTCCTTATCAAAATGATAATGGAACAGTGATCTGCTGAGAGGGGGGGGAGCACAGGCCGTGGCGGAGCTCAGAAAGGATTGGCAGCCCTAGGGCGCTGCAACTAGTGCACCTTTGGCCACGAAAGGGCCACATCTCGGTTCCCTCAGCCCCTGGCTACAGTTCATGTTTTCCCATGCTGCACACATACTTTATCGTAATGTCTCGCTTTGAAACGCTAACGTTATTTGGAATTTAATCCAAGCACGTCGCATACCTCAAAGGAACGATTAATTCCAGCGCCTAAGGGCCCTTTATTAGGCAAAACTGTCTCTAGGGAACCTACCCATACGTACACTGACGAAGGTTTCAAAAAAATGCGAACTACTATTATTATTATTATAAAATTGCTCTTAATTTAGACATCCCAAGTCCTTGTAGCAGCACAGCAAGAAAACATCCTTGACGGACAGTAGGATGGTTTTTTTTGCATTTTCTGCAACTAATTGACAAGAAACAAACAGTGATCAGATTTTGATGTTCTCGTACTGTGCTAGTATTGAAGACACGGGTCGCGTTTAGGTCCTTAGAGAAATCCTCTCTTTGAGTTAGGTAGCAGGACTCCTGTACTTTTGCAACAAAAGAGCTAATGTTTTGCTCAATCGCTGCGACCGCTGCAACTCTTACCATTCGAAGCGTACGTAGTGATTGTGCCCCTCTCGTGGACGATGTGCTCCTCGCCACTTCCCTTTCCTTGACGCTCTGTGTCTCTTCGCCGTGCCAGTCGACCTTTCAAGAAATTTTATTTCCTCCTCTGGCGCCCGTTTCTTTCATTGAAGTTCTTGTCTATTTTTCCAACGAGAAAAAGTCCAAATCGATTGCGACCCGTGGACCCGACCTGGGAAAGTTTGAGTCAGGCCTCACCCTCAACTTATAATCTAGTCGTTGATCATTTGAGAAAAAACAAGGTTTACAAAACTGAGAAGGAGCACCACGTTTGGCAAAATTCCGACGCTTAGAGGAATCCCACACGATCCCCTCCCCTCCATTGGATGAAAGACGGTCAGCGATGTTTACAGTGTTGTTAAACCTGTCATCACTTCGCACAATCCAACTCTGCTCCAAAACTCCTCCAAAACTGCCGCGGAGTCTACTAAAACAGCAAATTTCTACTGAGTCGCCAAGCATCACTTCGCTACGATTTTTTAGACGTTCCCCCAATAGCTGAAGGGCACTCTCCACATGAAAACACGTTATCCGTAACACTCACCTCCATGTCCACCTCTGAAAGCCTCACAAGCAGCTTCCCACTGGAAAAACTCAAATACGGCTTCTGTGTTGGGAGCTCCTCAAATATGGCTGACCCTGGTTTTGAACAGAGGTCAGTGTACACGCCTTGCGCCCTTAAAGGCACATCCCGGAATTAAACTGATGCTACGAGCGCTTCGTAGTGATGGATCAGCTGCGTTACGACTTGGAAGTGGGAAGGAAAACAAGAGCAATCTTTGGGAACGCTGGATTAAGACATTAACATACTGTTACGTCGACTATGGTTTGATGGCGAGACAGGGCGATCAAGGAAGACAAAACATGGGAGCCGCTCGAGATAGCACGTTCATCTCTACATAAGTCGCGCTGGGTCTGGCACGTTGCACCGAGGGTCGCTGGTTGCAAGCCCGTAGGGATTGGCGCTCTAACTGTGCAATTTTTGCGACGGAGCTGGAGTGATCTAGGTAGGTACGGACCTAACATTTCTCTCGCGGTATCCTTCCTACATACAGTTGGGCTAATCCCGGCGTTTGCCTTTGAATGGCTTGCCATGATCAATCGAAAGACTCGACGCCCTAAAAGCGTGCTCTAGGTTCAAATCGGTGCGGTTCTTGCGTACATATAAGAAAGTATTGAAAATGGGACGGCAGTAAAGGGAAGAAAATATTCTGTTGAAAACGCTTTGGTTACGGGCTTGCTCACCTCTGTAAGGCAGTTGTGTTGAGGCAATGAGGGACTGAATTACTACAGTGGAGATGAAGCGAGAGAGCGCAACAAACGAATTGGTGCCAGACAACAGTCTGCTGCGGACGGCAATATTGCAGCTACTGCATCTGACCCTTGTCCAGGCTGTATCTTCATGGTTAACGCTTGTTAATATATTGATGCCTACCATCGCTGATATAAACCTGAAGGCAAGCCCCGGGATAAAACTGGTGTATAAGGGCGCTTCGTAGTGATGACTGATGTGAGATGCAGGGGGGAACTATGTATAAGTGAAAAGGAGAGTAAGAGAAATCATCGGAAACGTTAGAACTAAGGCCTTGACCTAAAGTAACGTCGGATGTGGTACGATGGCGGAACAGGGCGATCATAGAAGACAAAACATGCAAGAGGGTACGCCGTTCGAGAGAGCACGTTGATATCAATATCAGTCGTGGTGGGTGGAAAACGTTGCAACGGGGGTTGATGGTTTTGGTTCCGTTAAGATTAGCACCTCAATCGCGCAATTTGGCATGCTGGCATGATCTATCAAGGCACGAATCCCACTATTTCCCTCGTGATGTCCTTCCTACTAGTCGGGCTATTCCCGGAGTTTGGCTTTCGAATTTATAGAAGGCCACCGAAGATAAGGAACGATAGTCTTATCTTCAGTGGCCTTCTATAGATTCGGAAGCCAAACCCCGGGAATCTACAATTTTTATCCTGCTAAGATCCTGTCCTATTGACAGAGAACTACCATAAATGTAGGAATGGAAGGTTGACTGCCAAAAAAAGCATTTCAAAAAATAACTCATGCCTCTCATAATAAATATAATACAATAAGCATGATGGAAACAAAAATTTGTCGTTGATCAGTCAATATTGCGCAACTTTATTTTGAAGCTCGAAAAGAGAAGTATTTTCACAGCAAAAAATAAATAAACACAACTTACATTTCTCAAAATAGACAAGAGAATGCTGAGAGCGAATGTTGTCCAGCAGAAAGCTGTCATGTCTAGAATCATTCAGCAACAGGCATTCAAGTTTAGGCATGCGTGAGCAAAAACATAGGAGAGAGAAACGGGTTTTCGGCTGATGTGAACCCTGAACCTGTTGATTTGAGTTAGGCGGGAAATGTTCGAGGACATATTCCTTGTTAGACGAGTTCCCGTAGTTCGCGAGAAAGCAACCGAAAGCGACTCCCAGTATATACTTATGAAACAGCTGCATTAGGCACCGGAATACACCTGCAGAACAGAGTGAAGGTCTTTGGGCTTGGAACTGTGAAACTTTGGAGTCAAAAAGAGTCACTGGATGATGAATTTTGTACTATATGATGGAAGAGGTAAAACTTCTAAGCCTAGTTCTGAGTTGTTCACCGCAGGTGGTCAGTTCGGCAGGCGTGAGCAGGCCTGTTCGGCAGGCGTGAGCAGGAAATCGAGAAGTTCCCTGAAATTTCTCGCGAAGCGAAGCTCATGGAAATGCTGCGCGTCGTCGATTCTTCACACTGAAAGTGCACACTATTCCATACAAGCATAGCACAGCCCTTTCTCGACTAGACAAATTAATGCCCCGTATTCGACCACAACTGTAGTATCCCGTCAACGTCCTCATTGCCTTAACAGGGTTCGTTGAAAAGCGCTTGAACGGTATTCCTTTCTTCGAATGCGATTTCAATTTGATTGACGAGTTCGGCGCTATTGCAAGATAAGGGGCGTGGTGGTAGCAATGCACTTGAAACCGCGAAAGTCATCCCCTTTCAGTTGAGAAAATGCGTGTAAGCCTTAGGAAGGAAAAGGAAAAAGAGGCCTTAAGCGGAGAGACTCCAAGTTAACACGTTGACGACATCGCGCGTTTTGGCATTTTTGGTCGCGTGGGACCAGAGCGGTTCTGCGAGCGCCGCCGCCTCACAACAAATGTGTGGATTTTGAGCTTTAAATACGCAATACTTCGATGCGACAAAATGTTTTCACTGATATTCGGTGTGTCAAACTTACTGGAAGGTAAACATGTGAAAGTGCGGTCGAATGATGTGTTACAGCATTGAAAAGGCAAGTTTCACTTACTTTTGTTTCAGGGATTTCAAAATTATTTTGGACGTGGTTGTTTCGGTAAAAACAATACCTTGCCACAAGAGTAGCTTTGTACTCACTTCTAATATTCTTTTTTTATCTACATGTTCGTGTTAATGAAGAGAAAATGAGGAATGAATTGAACGGATATTTTCGTTCTGTCCGAAAAACCTCTGCCAAACTAAAGAATATTTGGTCATTCTATAAGCCGCGTGGGTCTTGGTTATGTTGTGGTATGGTCTAAAAAATGAGCCAAAAAACCTGGGAAGAAATGGCGCGTTCAAGAAAAAATTGAATGTAAAGGGTGTGGCAACTATAGTTGCCACAATGTCCATTGCGGCGTGCAAAACGCGGCAAGCCTAGTTCCCGCGCTGTCGTCAAGGTGTTAAGCAATTTTCATGTTTCCCGGAGATCCGCCCTCCTGGGCAGTTCTAGATAGCGCCGGCAAATTCTCTAGTAGCCTTTAGCCGGACTTTGGTTTAGCTAGTGGAAAGGAACCACTAGAAAATTTTCTACAACAAATACAAAGTCAAGGCGATTTGGTATTCCATATTACCCATTGAAACTAAAATTCAACTTACTTGGCAACATTCCTTACCAAAAAGGCTGTTCGAATATTGGCTTTTATTGACAATCGTGCCCGAAGTTCCCATAATAAAAAAACCCATCATGTGTTCCGGCACATACTAGTACTCAACAAACGATTTATCTACGTAGATGCCCACAAATGTCGTGTGGATGTGTCAATTTGGAAAGATTACCTAGCTTTTGATTTGAACCCTTTCGGACCTGCCGGTGGCAATTGCCCTCATCAAATTCCAATGTCTGCATTACCGCTGCAACAGCGTATTTCTGCTACCCACGTAGAGATTACTACAGACGACTTTCCCTTCCTAAATATGCTTTGAGCCCGCCATTTTATTGTGTTGCTATAAGCATTACAAGATTTTGTGTACAGGTACAACAATAAATCGACGCTGGTCTCATCAAGCTGCTAGATAAGTGTCCATAATTTCTAGAATACTTGCTATATGTTCGAATTCTCATCAAAAACGTTAGATATAATGTTGTGCAAGATCATAAAATTTTGACATATCTTAGAAACTCGGAATGGTTTCAGCATAACCTTAAGAACTATGAAGCAGTGTCAATTTTCAAAGATTCCTCGCTTCTTTGTTTGTTATCGGATAGCTTCCAAATTTCGCTTTATTCATGTGCTCACAAGTAATAAACTATAGCAAGAAAAAAATTTTCCACGGAAAAAAATTTAGGTTCGTAAGAGTTAAAGCTCTAGAGAAGAATAACTGACCGACAGCGAACAAAAATATCTTCTTTAATTTTTCACGGCAGTCTTTACGAACTTCAAGATATGTTCAAATAGTGATAAAAATGGAAATAGTCATTTCCTGTAGTAAAGGAGAAGTATGGGCATCATGACCAGATCGACACTGATGCTTAGGTGAAAGGGCGCTATCAGATGCTAAACCGGTACATTCGTGCTAATGTGTTTCATCTCGTTTCACCATTAAATCCAGCCCTTGAAGAAAAGAACGCTTTTGCAACGAGTCACAGCTCTAATCTCATGTCCGTGAATATAGACTACACATATTCTATATTTATTCAGAAGACAAGATTCACAAAAAGGCCACTGCAATCGTTACTTTAGCGGCAAAGATCTTGCCACGATTACAAACTCGAAATATCACAGGAGAATCGGATGACAGCGTGATAATCTCTTCTTCAGCTAATTTTGGCGTCATCATTTTGAATCGCGGTGTTAAGTCAACGTCATCTGTAAGTGTACGTCATCATGCAATACCCAAATTCATAAACTCACACAATATGCCTAAGAAGTGTTACAGTAGAAGTCACATTCCTCGCGCAGACCAATCACATCTAATTTGCCTTCGGAAATATTGGAGGAAATTTCGATTTCAACTTCTATAAGCAGCTTACGACTTTCAAGAAATTGAGCAAGTTAGCACGAACCCCGTCCCTCTGTGCGGCGTAGCGAGTACCCGACATGAGGCCTGTCGTGCGGAACAATGCAGAGTCAGCGGAAGAGTCGCAGCGCATGATATAGGACGTGCAATGGTGCATCCTATTTAACTTGACGCGAAACCACTACAGCACGCGCTGCGGAACGGATTGCGCCTTCTTGCCGCGCGACGGGCCTCTTGGCGGGTATCTCGACGCCCTCTATTTCTCCCATTTCTTCTTCACAAACTCCGCCACCGCATTTTAAGATGACGACAGGACCGCAGTAAGCGTACGTCCATATGTTTAGTGCGATCCATCGCCCTAGCTATGATCTCTTCACCACCCTGCGACTCAATTTTATCGTCGTCAATTTCAAACACACCGAATCCCCGAGAAATTCGTCTACGGAGCGGTATATAAACTAATGAAAGCTGCTCCCTACCCTATTTTTTAGAAATGCAAAGCTCAATAATGATCCCGCATGGACACGTTAATTATGTGTAGGTCAAATACTCCATGGAACATTAGTTACCCTACAGTCCATTTACGGTCCATCGTGCTCTCCAAGATCGATGCTTCGGCCATCTTCGGCACGATGGCTACCAGGTGAGCACGAGCCCCCCAGGCTATCCAGTAGTACATAAATTCAGTATCCCAATATTTCCAATTCTCTTCCAGATTCACATCACTGTGGTGCGTTTGGGCCAACAAAACGTAAGGTAACGAGAACTCTGTTCCCACCGGATCAGGTCACTCAGTGTGAGCCATGCTCATCGGAGGCCAAATCATTATATTATTATATTTTGTAATAAATCTCGAAAGAGAACCTACCTTGTTGAAACCAGATCTGTACTTCGGCGTTGCTTGTAAATTGGTAGATCATTTTTTGCTTCCTCTCAGGATGAAACTCCATTGTCAACTCATCTCCAGCTCTTACAGACCGTGTTTCGGGCGCCAACTCGATGCCGTTTGACTTCCAAAGCGACCCATCTTCCTTCAAATATATCACTCATGGATTCATTTTAAACAAGAGACCTCTTTTTGTTGGCTAATATATTTAGTAGAACCCATGAGTGCAAGGCACTTGTCAACATCCAAGGTTTCTTTATTTTAGTTCGTCAAGGATGACCAAACGCTAACCACGAAGTCATCTTCGGTGATTTTCGCCGATTTGAAACAGCCATTATCCATCTCGCTGTGAGTCTTATACGTTCCAGAAAAGGCGAGTGGAATCGCCTCCATACTAAAACATAGCGTTATAATAGCAGTCCTTGTCAGTCCTCTTCAAACGAGTCACCTGAGGTAGTTTGTCATCTGGTCCGGATATCGACTGACAAAATGAAACCGATTGTGGACCTTTGCTGGGAGTAGAAATGATATCACCTAGAAAGTCGATAGTAACTCAAAAACTCCTCAAAAGTTCGACTTTGCAAAGATTTTTTTTTATCAGGGAAGCCGAATTTCACTCCAAAAATAAACCTCACACCTTCCATGCAAGCGCAAGAAATGTTGGTGGATTTACAACGATAACATGCTTTAGTAGTTCTGCATAATAGTCCAGCCATATATTTACACGGGCCTGAAATTACTGGATTATTGACTTTTTTTTCGTGATACACGAAGAAAATTTTTCACGGTGTCGCTAAGATTGGGCGATATCGTCTTCAAACGATTAGTTTTGATTTTCGCTAGAGCTGTGCCAAGCGTGACTTCGCTCGAAACTTTGCCATGTTTATACTAGCTAACCACTGATAGGGCGTAGACAGCGGATACTGGAGGAGACCGAAAACGCGGCATGGTTGCATAATTACCTGAACTTTCTTTTATGTTCTGTGCCGCAATGGCTAGAGCACAGATGAAAGACGGACGGCGCCTGGACTCGATTTCAGATCCCAGGAAGAAACTCGAAAGCAACAAGGCTCAGCCTGGAGGGTGAAGGGATTCCGGGACAGGACCAAACGTCACGTTGGCACTTTCTCAAAAGTTTTGCGACCCCCCCCCTCCCCCAGTCGGGTACCGGTACAATCTCCCACCATCACCCTCAGTGTTAGAAGGCTTAAAGGAAGGCGCAGAAGAGAGCATAGAATGAGGAAGGAGTTCGAGTAGTCCCGCATCCAGCGAACGCCAAGCACTACGCTCTGACGACGTCGCGTTCAGTTTGCCATGATTTACCTTTGCTGCCATGTTGTTTATGCCGCGCGCAGTCAAGCCACAATGCGAATGTGAGTCGTTGTTTTGTCGCGCGCACGATGTCGCATATTACCATCGATTCATGATCTCCTGACGAGGTTATTGTCTACAATTTGCATTACCTGCATTAAGCAATTGATGGCACTCGTCGGTGACATGTACGGTGTAATAGCGATGCCCTTCATGTCGAAAATACATATTCCTGAAAGTGCAACTTAAGTTCTCTTAAGATTAAGAAATGAAATTTCATACACTACTAATACCATCACTGATGTAGCGCACCCCTTCTTCTCTACTCTTGAAAGCGACCTACAGTACCTACAGGGGACCATAGAAAACTTAAGGACACTATCATTCAAAAAGTAACTAATTACACTATGCCAGATCCAAAGCGAATGGTTTCATCTGAAAATTGAAACGCACATTCCACTGTATCAGAAAGCTTCGACTAACAGTCTACCCAGACAACATTGGAAAAAATTTCTCAGGAAAACATGGCGCACGTTTCAAGCTCAACAACTCGAGGGATCGTGGATCATCACTACGTTATCGGAAACCTGGTCGGAAGGGACTTTGCGTAGTCAGAGCTGATGCCTTTGGAAGGCTATGAATGAGTTATTAAAGAGTTAGTTATTAAAGAGTTGAAACAATTATGTAGCTGTTTCAGGCCGGAGCGGTTACTAAGCCTCTGAGCTCACCGGTCATCAGATGACGTCTTATTTTGAAGACGCTCAGTGCAGTCGGGGAGGGCCTGCTTTTGCGCCCACGGGTAGACATCTCAGGAATACTTTGAAACCTACATCAAAAGCAACAGCCTGCGCGACGAAAAGGATGGTGACAAGAGCCAAGAGTGACTTTTCTGCCCCACGCCCTCCCCCCACACTCCCTCCTCCATCCCCGTGATACAGTGAATATTCTTTGGACAAAATTCACCAAAATACATGACCATACAACGATACATTACTTACACGTGTCAGAAATATTCATGGATATTACATTAAAACCCATCCTATAAAGAAACGGTTCCGAACTGCTTGCTGCGCCAGACCTTTTTTATGTGTGGGTCAGGAGCTCCCAATTGCTACAATGCACGGAAACTACAGTGCGTTTCAAAAGTATAAAGCCACCCATGATTGCAGCTGTTCCAATTTAGGATAAAAATTTCAAAACTATGGCCAACTTTGTTTCAGAAATCACTATTAGCTAGAAATGGTTTTATAAGAAAATTTGAAAATCTCCGCTGTTTCAAAAGTATAAAGCCACACGTAAAATCTGTTCTCCCTGGCAATTCAGATGAAGTTCTGTGGCCATATCTAGCACGAACACATTACGTCTTCAGTATGCCTTGACAATCTAAACTTTCTTTTGAAGAGCAAGTTCGTGCGAGGACTTTACATAAAGCTGGCCACTCAAATCGATCTGTAGCCGCTCAACTTGGCCGCTCTCATAGCTATATCGAAAACTTTCTGAAAAATCCAGCTTCCTATGTAAGGAAGAGGATTTCTGGGAGGCCGCGAGTAATGTCCGTACATGATACCGCCATATTCCAGGATCCCTTTTCAATTCTACGGCAACGATCAGTCAGATTCGACACGAGCTTTTTGTTTCAGCTTGGAAAAGTACCATGTGGGGGTTGCCAACTCTGCTCCAAATATCGCACAAGAATCCATGATGAAGATACCACGTCTGGAAGAGCATCACAAACAGCTCGCCTCGAATTTTTGTGGGGGAACATGCGAACGAATTGAAATTCGGTAGGGAATTCTACAGGGTAGAGAGGCACTTTCATCACGACATCTAGTAAATGGTTTGTTGTGTTCAGGAGTCTCTCTGACGAGAAGAAGTTCAATTTGGACGGACTGGATGGTTATCACAGCTGAAGGACAGATCTTAGAGAAGATCCGTTGGTATTTAGTAGGAGAAACTTCGGCGGTGGTTCACAGATGGTCTGGGATGCATTCTACTGCGGTGCTGTGCTCCCTATGGCTTTCGTGTCGTGTCGAATAGACTCCAGTGAATACCAGAATGTTCTTTCTGATCACCTTCTCCCGCTTCTAAGTGGAGATCGTTGGCAAAACTTCATTTTTATGCACGATAACGCCACCATCCATCGCAGCCGGTCCAATCAGCACTGGCCTAGCATTAACGATATGTCGTACCATGTCGTCTATTTGATCTCATTTTTAAATATGGAGGTCACCCTTCACTAATATGTACGATGCTCACTGTTTTTTGAAGAAAATCGAGTTGTTTGCAGGTGGCTTCATGCTTTTGAAACAGAAGACATTTGTGAACTTTCTTAGATAAATGTATGTAAATCATCTTGTTCACTGAAACAGAGAGGGTAATGGTTTTCAAGCACGCTGGATTCAATGTAGTTCACGGCTAGCCATGAAATACTTACCTTGGACTCGAAAAAGTCCTTTTCATGGGAGGCTTTATGCTCTTGAAACGCACTGTAAAACCGCGCGGATGGCTTGATAGCTCAACCCTATTGCAGTTCGCACAGTAACATTTTGGCTGCGAGCCGATACTGATAAGTTGAGATCCCTGAGCTACACCTGTGGCCTCACCCTGATGAGTCTCATGTACCCGTCTGTTTTGTGAACACCAGCCATCCCCTAGTTTTGCGGTTTATCAACTATCATGCATGTGCAATCACGATCAGAAATGCCATGACATTTTAAAATTTCGACATAAGTGAGTGTGACCGGGCCTGACGTTGACCGTACTACCTTCTCTTTCGTACTTTTTCCAAGACGAAGGTTTAAAGCGAGGGATTACGATAGGACTGGGTTGGGTTCATAGTGGAAGTGGAGTTGCTGAATAATGCCCTAGTGGCGAAAAAAGCAAAGAAATCCGTTAAAAACGCTCAAAATGGGGCCGCTTTCTTTGCCCGTTGACCTCCGGTAATGGACGAGGTAGCAACCAACTGAGAGGTCTTTTGCATATGGTGAACCGATAGCCACCATTTTACTAGCAATGGCCATGTTTTGATTGGTAACGCAACTCATGCCGAAGTAACAGGATACGCGTTCGAAGTGGAACACCTTATCAAAATGATAGTCGAACAACGGCTGCTGGGGGGCGGAGCACAGACTGTGGCGGAGCTCAGAAAGGATTGGCAACCCCAGGGCGCTGCAACTAGCGCAACTTCAGCCACGAAAAAGCCAAGTCTCTGTCCCTTCAACCCCTGGCTACTACTCGAACTGGTGCAGGTTCTTCCATGCAGCACACATATGTACATTATCGTAATCTCTCGCTTTAATAATGTCTGTCTTTCTTTAGTTTTTGCTGAATTTCTTTTAAACAGAAAACGAGCTAGGTAACAAACCGTGTGACGGTCTTCCTGTGAGTTTTTCCCGCTCCAGAACTAGATGTTGGAAATATTCACAATATCCAAAGAATGATCGCAAGTATTCACTGACTCGAACGACCTTCATGAACTGAAAATAACAGATAGTGATTTTTTTCTACGGATTTTTTCGGCGATTCCAGCCGGCGCCAATTCTATTACGATAATGAGGTCATGTCAAATTCTCACTTTGACATTATTTTTTTCAATTTCACAGTGTTTCTTGATAAATGCTGTTCTCAACAAGGTCGAACGTGTTGCCCAACTGCGGCATTTGCGACATCTTGTCCGATTCAGATTGAAAAAAAGAATAGAGCATTTGCTGTTCATCAATCCCTTTGTGGGATGCGGCACGCATTCTTCCATTTGTACATTTGTAGTGGCGTTTGAATGTGATGTGACAATTCACTGTTTTTATCCTCCCAACACGTTCTTGGGTAGTATTAACCGCCCCGGGGATGGAGGGCTTGGGTCTCTGGGCGTACTCAACAACCAGGATTGGTCCCGACCGCTCGCGTGGTAGCGTGCCCACTTGTTTCTACACCACTTCCACCCCCGATTTAGATTACGTTTAATAAATGGACTTGAACTATTCTGAATTTGAAGGTGAGGTTTATTTTTTAAATCTATTAATTAACATAGTTAGGTCATAAATCTAGCATAGATCTATTTTACCAAATCTATGAAATATCTAGCTAGATCCTCTATGATTTCTATGCAATAGAGGCTAATCTCCTACCCCGTAATTACTTTCTGTTGGTAGCATTGCATCTTCTTGTTTCTGAATCAAGAGTTTCTGAATTTTCTATGAAAATAAGCCTCCAAATTTTTCGCGACCACAAACCTTTTTTGGATCTTCGACACTCATCTCAACAAACACGATACCATTGTCCTTCTCGTTAAACCATTCAGCAGATAACCTTGACTGGCGCACATATCGAGCACAGTTCGTCTGCAATTGAATAGGATGTCGGTCAAAGTTGCATCGTGCAATTCGAAAGGACTTTTCGCTGTGTTCAATGTTGCAAGAGAAAGAATTCATCAAAGCCACGTTCCAATATGAGAAGTGCGGGGGTGGGGCTCCGATTCAGAACGGCAAGTGGCAACAAACTTCGATACTGACAAAAAGGGAAATGAAGTCGCTGGAAACAAATAACATCCCGTTTACTGATTAATTGATTCACGGGCCACTTTTCTGACGATTGTATACTCTGAGCCGAAGCGAGAGCATCGATGAGCGCAACAAGAGCGCATAGAGACAAACGAAGCAGTAGATACCACGACGGTTGACTTGCGTGATTGCTTGAGGTGGGCATGGTTGCAAGTCCTAAGCTCGTAGCACATTCTGAATGGCAAATGGGCCATACATCTGGCTGCAGGCGAAGCAAACCTATTCGCGAAGAGAATTAGTCTAGTGAACTTACATGGAATATGCCTTTAAGTAATGGCTCTCTCACCACACGAATATCTCAGAGGCACCGAAATTAATTGTTTTAGCGAATACTTACCATAAAAAAGATAAGAAGAAAAACGAAAAGAACGGTCTGTGATTCACCCCTTAAAATGCGGCGGACGACCCACTTCTGTTCTGATTCGCATGAAGTTTTCGAGGTTTGTGCATTTATTGGTCCCCTTGAGGTGGGGTGAAATGAAACAGATTCCGCTTAATGCATTGTACTCCCAAATAGAACTGGTACTCGCTGGACATCGGAACAGCAGAAGTCCTTCTTAGGCTATGCATGGAAAGGGAAATTTTCTTCAAGCTAGAGCCCGGTTGCAGGGCCTTTTGCTAGTGCGCCATCTCCTCATGAACGTGCAATCAGCAAGAGGCTCAGAAAAACCACCAAACGGCCTTGCAGACGAATTATTGACTGGAGATTTAAAAGAAAGTGCCGTCCTTAACTTAGTTGAGACCATACAGCCGCAACTGCTTCACGGGTGATACTTAATTGGTTATCCGTATTAGAGAGCTGCCACACAGCTTCTCCAGAATGAACTTTTGCTAGTGCGCCATCTCCTCATGAACGTGCATCAGCAAGAGGCTCAGGAAATCAACCACCAGCTCAGAGACCTCAGCTAAGTCTCCATCTCTTTATGTCAACCGCTTTTTCCGTACCCTCTTTCTATTGCTCTTCTCCTAGCACAAAAACACTGACTATCCTCCTTTGCTCGAACCCATTGTTGGCCTCAATTGCTCCCAAGATCAACGTTAACGCAAACATGTTTTTCACCTCACTTATACAAAGCAAAAAGTATGTCAAATTTCTAACCTTATCGACATATAGCCGTTGTACGTTCGAAAAGTCGTCGTATCCCAGGGATTTCCGTATTTTCGAATATTCTCGGTATTTTTCCGCGGCTTTGTTGACATCCTGAATTATTTTGATTCATTTGGTGAAAATTGCTAGTTTAGCCATCTCGTGGCCCCGCCAAACATCTGTTTAGATCTCACTCCATCGTAGCCGACCAACCAGCGCTGAAGGTGGAAGTCTGTGCTGTGTTCCGGACAAAGTTCATCACCGAGCGCTGCACGCAGAGCTGCCTCGCTCATAATAGTGGGTCAGATTGCCTAGAAGAACTTGATGAGTGAAGAAATAAATAAATCTGAATAGTGATCGAAAAGTAGTGGACTAGCGATTGGAAATTTGTAATTAGAGATAGAAGGATAAAGCATTTGCCGTTGATCAATCCCTTTTAAGCGGCATGCATTCTACTTCCATTTGTACATTCGTAGTGACGTTTGAATGCGATGTGGTCTATACAATGGCTTGCGGGGGCCAGCCGATGTTCACGTCAGTGTTTTTCATCCTCCCAGACAAGTCTGGCGCCAATTAACCTACCCCGAAGGGATGGAAGGCTTTGTCGGCTCGGACGACTCACGACCCAGGATTTGATCATCGAACCGCACGCGTGGTAAGCGTGCCACTTGCCACTACACCACTTTCGCCCTCCATATTCCCATGTTTGTAATTTTAATGGTTAATTACACAGGTGAACCTGTGTAGAAAAAAAATTATATAGAAAAGGAGGTGAAAATCTTCAAGAACAATTGTACGAAATAACAGTTAGAAAGCTGCAACCCAACAGAAATGACATAAGAAATGACGAATTAGATACTTGTCTCAAGCAGCTCTGAAAGAGCTAAGTTTGGTGGTGGATACTCCCAAACGAACCAGTATTGCACTCCAAGGTGGTCTTGTTCCTGAAATGAATGGAACTCAGAGCTTTTCCCCGGAAAACGGTGACAGAAGTCTGTGAAACGTTAAAATCCTTCTTTCTCTGCCGTTGGCAGAAGCAGGGTCAAGGTGTGATTGGATCGTTTTCGATTTCTTTTACCCCTCCCGGCTTTTCCAAGGTAGTTGATATAGTGAACCTAACTGACATATTCTCATCTCCTAGACACTTTGCAGGATGTGGTTAGGAGAGGATGGGTTCTTACACCTGGGACCGCAAAAATCGCAACGTTTTTGAGCTATACGCTTGTCACGAGTTGTTCTTGCTTTGATTTTTCCAAGAGGATAAATTACAGTGGATGTGCTGTATTTGTTTGTCTTCTACCTTTAGTTCGATAAGTGTTGTAAAAGACCGACATGGCGGTGACGGTAGGGTCCAGAAATTCCACTACGTCAGAAATTAGTGAGTACCAAATATTTCAAGTCCACGAATTTGGTTCCTGATGGCCAGTAGTATTACTCCAGGCATCAAGTATGTTCTACAAATGCTGGTCATTGTTGCCAACTTGATACCAAACATTTATTTATCCACTCATTGGCCTCTGATGTTTGTAACAATGCTGATCTTTGGGAACCCACAACAAAGAAACTGAGAGATTCAAGGAAAGAAACCGTCGATAGGGTGAGCAAACAAACCCATTAACTTTCGAGCAAAAATGGTAGATGTATTGGTACCAAAACGGTAAAAAAATACATGGTCTCAGTTGGAACAGTCAGATGAGGAACAGGACAATTTAATTTATGGTACGTTATTCTTCAGTGTGGTTCTGAAAGTACGTCCATAAGAAGAACATGAATTTCGAAGGTGCGATGATAAGAAACTTAACAGAGTTCAGCGAAGAGCCGTAGTGGGTGTATTTATGCACAGCAGAACGTCGAAGAAAAAATGTCATCAAAATTATATGAATCACCCAAGTGCAGACAATTCAGCTGGTCCCTGTCTGTTTCAGTGCGTACCACCTTGCGTATCACCACATGACTGACACGAGAAGAAATAGCTCGGTGTAAACACGTCATCAAGTTCACGTGAAAATCAACCCACGAGTAGTTTTCAGATCAAAAGTGACACCGTGCCGAATGACCACGTCGTGTACAAATCGAGGACTTCAAACACAGCAGCCCTTGTGCATCGCCGGTTATTCACATTGGTGCTAAGCTCTTGTTCGAACACTTTCCAGCACTTTCGTGCTGCATTACCTACAGTAGTCTCATAAGTTCCACAAAACTCATGGCTGGTCTCCACCCTTATTGTTAATCTCAACCTTCGAACTTCAAAGCTACACACTAAATAACTAGTTCAAGGACAAGCAACTACCTCTAATAAACACACGCAATTAATGTCACCTACCGCATACATGCACTTGAAGAGAAGACAGTGAGTAGAAGGCAAGCAAAACGCAGGAATACAACCAGGAAAAAGTAAAAATGGGAGGAGCAATGTAACGCTAACAGGCTCTTATAGTTGACTTTGTGTGTGGGTCCTGTAGCGAGATGTAAGGGTTCTGTGAGATTATTTAAAATGTGACAATGTGGCATTTGTGAATCAGCGCGAAATACCCGGGCGCAACGCGATACAAACCTTCTGTCAACCAAAGGGTGAGAGCGTAGCTGGAAAAGCACACACTTTGGGTCTTATTGGGACTAAGCGTTTTGAAGAAGATAAGGAAAGAGGAGACGCTGTGATAGTGTGTACTTGTGAGAGCTCCCAGACATCACTACGAAACGCTGAACCGCCAAGGCTCACGGTTGACAGATGTCCTGAAACCCGCGTAACGCAGCTAATATCACGCGTTCGACTCTGAAATCGCCGTGGGCGTCAGTGTGTCAGCAATGGAAAAGTCTAACAGAATAATATAGCTTAGCAAGTACTCCACCAATTACAACTTACATTATTATAAAAACTTTTCTGAAAAAAAAATTGTTCACGTTTGTTCTTAGGTGGGAGGGGGAGGGACTCTCCATAATTGTCTCACCCTTGTGGCGACGACCAGATTCAACCCTTAGCGTTTGGGGAAGGGGGTGGAAGGTGGGAGGGGGAGGACAATTCTACAGGGTTTCAGCAATCTTCATTTCCCTCGAAATTCTTTGCACAGCCCCCCCCCCCCAAGCATCGGCTCGGGTGCTCGCACCTCTAGGAATGATTGCGGGTGTATCCGTGACACAAGGTTATTGCCCCTCCCATACCACATAGTGTCTCAAATTGGAGGCAATTTCCATTAGTGTTTTTGTGATTTAAATAGTGAATTAAAAGAACAAGTTCCAATAGGTTACTAGTCAATATTTACTCAACTTTAATATTGCACAGTTCCTGAAACGTATGTCAGCGTAATCGAGCTGCAAGAAGGAACTGGAAGTGCGCATTCTTTTAGTCGAGTAATCTTTGGGTAGGTTAGCCTTACATCGCTTATGCTCAAGGCAATTAGGGTTTTCAAAGTTTCCGATGTATTCGCTGTCTCTTGTGCCGCCAGGCCCGTTTTTCTCGTGACAGCTTGAGCGCATGCCGTTGCGAAAGGGAAAGGAAAGTCCAGTGGGAGGCTGAATTTTTCTCCTTGAAGACGTTTTCGAACGCCGATAAACTCTTGGGAAGCCTTAGCAAGTTTTATTGGAATGCGCCGTGCATTGGACTCCTTTCACCAAACAGAAAATTTGTCCCCACAAAATGACCGCTAGAACTCCTTAGGGCTCCTTCACAGATATCGAAGGCCGTTACAGTACAGATCATGTTTAATGCAGCTGTCTATCTCCGGATTCAAAAGAAATCATTCAAAAATGAAACTATTCAAAATAATGGAACAAAACCCTTGCAACCCTGTCGCCAGACTGGTTCCCGTAAAACCTGTTCACAAGCATTATGTCGAATCTTTGAACTTTGTGTTCTGGATGTCTCGCGTACGTGCCGAATTCCCAGCAATTCTAGCCGCTTTTCCCTAGCGCTACGTCACAAGACATCGCTAAGCCTTGGTGACAGCAGACAGTGAATGTAAGATTCCGTGAAAGAAGAAGTGCTGATTACGTCTCCCATGCGATGAAAACACTGGTGCATATCTTACAACTGATAACAGCTAACCATGCCTAGGTAATGAGCCACAAGAATCGAAACAGAGCAATAACACCAGGACCACGGGAAATTTTAATTTCTACTTTCAATGTGATTTGCCATCCTATTTGGACAGAGGACTTGTCAGCAGACTGAGCAATGGCTACATTTATAGATGTGGAATTTCGGTCATTTCCGGCAACTATCAAAATTGATAATGAGACCAGTTTGGCTGAATAAATGTAATATATGCGAGGGCTGTGATTACGAAAGGACTATATGTAGATAGGAGCATTGTCTGGCACACAGCTCAGAAATGTTCAGTGTTAGGTCTTATTAGGATGAAAAAGAAGTCCTGCAACACTTCTTCTCATTCTCATTTTAATTTTATCTTCTTTTTTTCTCTCAGCCAGTTGTATACCTATCATTAGTGTTCATCTCTTGTCCCCAATACTCAGCTATTTATCGATGTTTCTTTTTCTTTTCCAAAACGTTGCCGCGTGCGGGTTAAAAAAGCAGGCGACCTTGTTTCAGAATTCAAGATGGTCGTTAAATTCTTTCGTCAAAGATGATGATTGAAGGTCTCAAATAGGTGGTATTCAGGGCGACCGCAATCGCCGTGGGTATTACCAAGGGAATATGCTAGCTAAGGTAGCTCACTTAACTTCAGTATTTTATAACGTCCATTCCTCAGCACGTTGAATAGCAGTGTTATGAAGAACATAAACATTGTATGGTGGGAGCTTTTTAACGAGCTACCTAGACCAATCCGAAGTTCCGAAGTATAGACCTCTACCAAATTAACGGTGCCTAATTTGTAGTCGTGCTCCAGTAAAAGCCGTACATACCTGTAGAGGAGAGTGCGGGGCGCTGCTGACCTTTTATAGAAATATTAAAAGATCGAAGTACAGGTAGAACACAATGTAGCGGTGTACAGCATTACCGTTGAAGCTATTGCAGATAGTGTTGGCGTTTGGCACGTTACAGGGCGGAAGCGGTGTAGCGGCAAGTGGCGAGCGGTCCGGGGATCAAATCCTGGGTCGTGAGTCGCCCAGGCCAACCAAGCCTTCCATCCTTCTGGGGTCGGTTAATTGGGACCAGACTTGTCTGGAAGGACAAAAACACTGACATGAACTTCGGCTGACCCCTGCAAGCCATTGTATAGGCCACATCACATTCAAACGCCACTACGAATGTACAAATGAAAGTAGAATGCGTGCCGCAACCCAAAAAGGGATTGAGAGACGGCAAATGCTTTATCCTTGTATCCTTTGTGTACGA